TGATTTTTTGTTTTTTTAATTTTACATAACTCAGTGTGAGAGATGTAAACAGAGAGATTCAGAGTGGTTTGGTGTGAAATGGTTCAGATGTCTTTACAGTGGTGGTGATAGGAACCAGGGGTCGCCATGACTACGACACAGATATAGCCATTTTATTTACTATCCAGAACCACCAGTGAACCTACACGAGTCTTCTGAGTTTATATGAATGTTGATGATGGAAAATAGTGGAAAATCTGAAATAATCAGTTTTCTTTGGGGACTATTTTGCCTCACAGCGCCCTGCATGTATCCCTCCACCATAAATGGAGTTTAAGTTCTCTAAACTATCATAAAACAGTGTCTCAGTCATCAGGCAGTGAATTCATAACCATTAATAACAATTTAATTATGTAGAAATTCTGAAAAAAAATGGTGAAGTTCTCCTTTAAGTTTGTTTTGTCAAAATTCATTTTGCACTTAGTGCACATAGTCCTTGTGTTGGTTAAGCATCACAATACTTGAACATATTTTCATGATACACGATATTTAGTTTTTCAGAGGTTTGTGAAAAATTCACCAGCAGAACAGCAGAACAGCAGAGCGACATAGAAAAAAGGCTGAAAACGCGCCGTATTAGTAGTTTCTTATTTTAGAAATGCTTCTGAAAATAAAAAGTTTAACTATTTAAAAGCTGCAGTAAGAAAATAATTTGAAAGGGCTGAAAGTATATTAACAGATGATTGTACAGCCCAGTTTGTTTGTCAATCAGCTACTTGTTACTGTGCAGTTATGCAGATATACGCTGGTTGTTACTGTTTACAGGTTCTATAATTGGTCTAAATCTGTCTTTAGAAAATGGATAGTTCTGGTCCTAAAATCTGATTGGCTGAGCTGCGTTCGAAGCTGTTGTAAAATACACAATATACGCTCACCTGTGACCGCCTCACAACTGAACTCCGTATCACTGCACCTCGAAAAACCTGTGTGCTGTTAATGAATAACCTTTGATTCTAATGCTGATCGCATGGAGCACTGAGTGTACTGATGAAATGAGAACCTGGTTCTGTTTAAACTGAGGGGCTGAAAACTTATTTTCTTAACTAGAACCTTTTTTGGTGCTATATAGAACCACATAAAACACATTCTCCCTCAGTCTGAAGAACCATTTCACCACGCAGAGAAATATTTTAGCATGCAAATCGTTATGAGTGTTCATGGTTCTATATGAAGTCATTTTCTTTACTAAAGAACCTTTGGAAAACCGTTTTAGAACAGTGGGTATTCCAGGACCCAAACTGGAAAAGTTAGTGTTAAACTGTAAAAACAGAGGAAGGTAATCCAGCAGATGCCCTGGATTAGCTGGTCCTTTTGGTTTTAGCTGTCTAGTTGTAAGAGTCCTCTAACAGGCCGGTGCTGTTTGTGTTTGTGGTGCAGGTGGCTCAGCCGGCTGACGATGCTCCTCCATCTGCGTCTGATGAACCCATGGAGCACTGAGGAACCTGCAACCCCCTCTGCTGAGGAGAGAGAGGAGCTACAACGTTTATCCAGAGTAAACATAACGTATCACTGCGTCACCCACAGCGGCTGTATGGCTTTGGTTTTCTATCTGCATAGAATCAGTTCAATAAATGTGTTTTTTCTGAACGTGTGTTCTGGTCTAACTTTACCTGCATCAAAATTCCAAAAAATGAAACAAACATCACAGATTAACCATCTTTACAGAAACACTCAGTATGGACATCCAGCAGCTGGACAGCGTGTGTAGAGAAATCTATTCCAAATTTGCTCTGATCACTTTATTTGAACTCTTTTAAGTCCTTGGGACCACCGGTGGTTCCAGAACACAATCATATTCGTTCATGCATATAGTTACTTCATAACTTTCATATTTCATAGGCTACATTCTAAAGGTGGGGGTCGTATGAGAGCTGTAACTGTCTTCTTTCCAGTCAAATAGATGGGTGATGTCATTTTAAACCCTTATAATAAAAGAAGCTGAACTCAGTTTTTTTTTTTCTACTGAAAGTCGACCCATTTTTCCACAAATCTGGGCTATAAACTATAAACAGATGGCGTCTCTTCAGTGATCTGCTCTGTAAAACATTATTTTCATAAAATAATACAAAGAGCGTCTAAGATTTAAGGCTTTCGGGGCTACATTGTAAGCATATAGCAATATGTTTATGATCATAAAACACATTTTCTGTTAATTTGAGGGGAACTCTTACAAAAAAAACCCTAAAAAATGACATTTATTATTGATTTGGGCACGTACATTCAGATGGACAAACTGAAATATACCCACGAGCATAAGAGCGATAAATAAGAATACAGGTATTAATAGACGTTCTGAGAAGAACCAGTTTATTGGAAAAGGCTGTTATGCTTGGAAGAGGTGAAGGGAAAAGAGGACGTCCAGCAACTGGATGGATGAAGACAATCAGAGGAATCATGAACCAGCCACTCCGAAGCCTGGAGACCCAAACAGGAGGCTTTGATGTTCTAGACAACAGAAGATGTTCTAGAGAAACGCCATCCAGATACGGACGCCAGGAGTCAGAACGACTTGACGGCACTTGATAATAATAAGACCTAAAGAACACGGTGCTGCTGATGACTCAGCATCTTCATTCTCCCTGTGATTACAGGTGCTCAGGTCCTCAGTCCTGCAGTTAGTGCTGGGTTTTGTTATCTGACGCTGAACTGATATCAGCCATAATCAATTCCAGCTTTAGTGGTATCGATAAAGTTACAGTGGGTCCAGAAGTCTGAGAAGACATCGAAATACTGGGATGTTCTTATTTACACCTGGAAACAAACAATAAAGATTTAAAATATTTAAACAAAAAAACTTAAGTAAAATGAATAAATGTTAAGGATTCTGCACTGTTTCTTGGTCAATATTTTGAAGTAAATTAAATTAATTTAATTAAATTGAAGCAGGTTTCTGAAATTGAGGTCTGTATAAAAAGGTCAGTGTTTTTAGTCTGATCTCTTCCAGTGGAGCTCGTGTTCAGACTCTCAGCTGGATCTGATCTGCTGATCAGAAGATTTTACACAAACTTGTGGGGTCCGTGCAGCTCGAGCGCTCACTGTCATTAAAGCAGAAGAGGGACACACCACCAAATACTGAAAAATTCTGAAATTCAAGTTAAAATTCCAAAGATTCCTCCAGATTATGGAGCTGATAATAGAATCTGTAATAATAATGTTTGTATTAAATTAGAGAAGCAAAATACACACATTTTCACCGGTACTCAGACTTTTGGACCCCACTGATGAAGTGAGAACCCGGTTCTGTTTAAACTGAGGGGCTGTCAGCTTATTTTCTTATCTAGAACTGGGCTGCTCAGCTAGCTAACAGGGCTAAAAGAGCCAACAGCCTAAACAGCTCCATCATTAATATCACAGGCTTGAATTAAAGCACTTACAGTCTGATTCACTGTAAAACTGCAGTATAAAAGACTAAACAACAAACTTTAATGTTTTACACACCCAGGCTGAGTCTCAAACGGCTCCGTACTCCCTAAATAGTGCACTAGGGAAGTTTTGAAAACTTCTACAGCCAAACAGTCACTATTTCAGCAGGGTGGATGTGGCTGAATCCCAAATGACTGTTTCTCAGATATATTAAACACTGTTGTGCTGCAGGAGTCAGTCACTATATCAGTGATAGTATTATGTTCCATGGTGTCCCTGTTGCCATGGTGATATAAATACACCGTATAAGGTCCATTTTGGTGTAATATTAAGAGAACACAATATATGTGATTTAGAATTTTATCAAAGCTGCCCAGCGCTAAGCTAAAATGTTCCCAGTGAATCTAAAGTGAAAGTTTATAAATTAGCTCTCATTGATTTAGTAAGAATATTCCATCTAGAGGTTTCAGACCCGACCCGAGTCTGACGAGGCCTGACGAAAACTAGGGTTCTTTTTTTGTTTTGATACTGGTATGCTGGTCAACAAGCATGACCATGCTGGGGTGACTAGACATGCCTGAACCAGACCAGCACTAGACCAGATTAGACCAGCATGAAATGCTTGCTGGTCTGCGCTGTTTTTTCAGCAGGGATTTCTAACTGTATATGAAACATAAAGAAAGCTCCATCTGTGCCGGTGTGCATGATCGGGTTCAGGTAGGGGTTGGGGTTCAAATTTAGCGGTGCCCATCGGGTCGGGTCGGGTTCGGCTTTCTGCTTTCACACCAGCCCAGTCCTCTCATTCCTTCTAAACAGCAGCGATTATCTCCTCAATACTATCAATTAAGACAATACAAAAACCAGCACCGTCGCCTCACAGCAAGAAGGGCCTGGGTTCGATTCCCCGGACGGGTAACCAGCGTTCTCTCTGTGTGGAGTCTGCCTGTTGTCCCCGTAGCTGTGTGGGTTTCCTCCCGGGTTTAGATGAGGAATGAATGAATTAAAAACTAGGGGTGTAACAGTACCTGTATTCACCCTGAACCATCATGGTGCGGACGTTACGGTTCGGTGCGGACAGTCATACCGAAAACACAGTATGTGCCAAGAATGAGTGTGTTTACATGCACTCAATAATCCGATAACTGCAGAAAATCAGACTTTGTCAGTAATCCGATCATCACGTTTACATGCACTTGAGTAATCAGATAAAGGGAAACTCCCAGGTCTACATGAGTCAGACAGTAATCAGATTTCTGCTTTACAACCAGCCAATAAACTCACAGAAGAAGACGCGACGTAAACGTAACGTAAAACTCAAACTTCACGACGCAGCTTTTATTTAAACATCGAGTCACTTCACCTGAAAATATGAACAAACATCATCTAGAAGATGAAGAATATTCAAACCCTTTATTTCGTGTTCGGTTTCAGCGCCGCTCCAACAGTGTTTTGCTGCGTCTCGTGGCATCCACCGTCTGATCTCGCACTGACTGAGAAATCAGATAGAAATCAGAGTAAGAGTTTACATGCACTGAGAAATCTGATTACTGAGCTAAACTCCAGCCACTTTATCAGATTTCTTAATCAGTTTTCTAGATCGGAGTGTGGTGTTTACACGACCATTTGAATAATCGGACAACTGCAGAGATCCAATAATGATCGGATTATTGAGCGCATGTATATGCATTCATTGATGAATGTAATGCGGAGCCGAATTTCCCAAATGCGAGTTCCACCTGGAAACCTTAAGCTGTAGGTTGCATAACTGCAGCAGCGCCATAACTCCTGACCCCCGATCAGCTGTGAGGCTGAGTTGGAGGTGGACAGTGAGTGAGAGGTGAAGAGGCAGCTATCGAGTCTGATCCTCTACACGGCCTGCAGTGTTTCTGCGCCTGAGAACAGATTCAGCACCAAGACTGACAGATTTCTCTGTGTGTCACTAACTAAACAATCACAGCTGAAGCTGAACTATCAGCACAGAGATCAGTGTAAGCCACCCACTACAGTCTGCACCAACTAAAGCCTCCTCAGGGGGGCGCTAGGCAACACCAGGTGGAACAAACTAAGTTGCACTACTGTCTGTTCACAATAAATGAAAAGAATCCTAGCCTCAGGCGTTTGGGTGCTTTTCTTGCTTTTGTTCTGTTGGACCGACTCGTACCGAACCGTGATGTCCGAACCGCGGTGTGAACCGAACCATGACTTCTGTGCACCATTACAGCCTTCAACCAACAACCAACATGCAAAAGGTAAGAGGGGAATAAATAAGTAAATAAATACATAAATAAAAATGCAGTGAAGGGGAAGTTTCGTGCTGGGGACTCAGGTCACTCTGACCGCTTCGTTCTTGGTCTTCCGTCTTATCAGACCGTTGCCTGATGATGGAGCGCTCCAGCAGAGATCCTCGTTTTCAGGTGGAAGTTTGTGGAAAGTTTTGTGCTGGTCTGCAGAAAAGGCCTCCAGACCCTTCGTCATCATCTCGGCAGCAAGTTCCTCATCTTCATCACCATCTCCAGCGAGGCAGTCTCCCTCATCATAAACACAGTCTGCAAAAAAGTCATCAACACTTTCACCATCAGGGTGGTTCCCTCCATCTGCACGTCCCTCTCTGTCCTCGTCCATCCCTCCGTCCATCTCTCCATCCATCCCTCCGTGCTGGAACCTGCTGGCCTGGTGCTCATGGTGTCTGCAGCAGTGCTGATGCCACTCGGTCATCGTCTCCTCGGAGTACTCCGTCCCGTCAGGATAATCTGTTCACAAAAATACTTCATTAGTTCACTTATTTTAAAGCGACAGTTTACTCAGCTTTTACCGTAAACGTCCGTCAGCTGAGACGTGTTCGGCATCTGAAGTTTGCTTCTTTAGTTTTAGTGCTAGAGCTACAAGGCTAATGTAGCTAACAAGTAATGGAGGTTTATGTACACCAGTTAGCATAGTGCTAACTGCTCCTCAAAGCATCCCTGGTCTCAAAGTGTGTGCAGTTGTTCATTAATCTCTAATAGACTTCACTGAATACTTTCTGACACTGTTTTGTGTTTTATTGTGTTTCATTTTATTTTAGTTAATGTTATTTTAAGGTTATTTTCTCGATTTTTTTAAAACACAGGTCTGTTTAGTGCGTCCTTTGTGACACATTCAGATATATTTATGCATATTCCAACTAAACATAACCGAAGGCAGCAGATTCCTGTGGACTAATGAGGAAATTCAAATATATCCTTATTTTATCAAAGAAAAAAAAATTAAAGGTAAACAGACAGGAGGTTCTGCCACCAGATTTTACTAAGCACATGCATTTTGTCTTTGTGCTCTAATCATGTAAAAATATCCCCAAAAATTAAACAAAACAGCAACATGGACATTCAAAAATTCTATACAATTAAACGATTCAGATGTAAACAGAGCGGTTCAGAGTGGTTTGGTGTGAAACGCTCCGTTCTAGATAAACTTACCGAGTCAGAACTGTTCACAGTGGTGGTGATAGGAACCAGACGTCCACCTCTAAAAGCTCCCTCACAGAAAGTTCCTACATGAAATGGTTATGAATTCACTGCCTGATGACTGAGACACTGTTTTATGATAGTTTAGAGAACTTAAACTCCATTCATGGTGGAGGGATACATGCAGGGCGCTGTGAGGCAAAATAGTCCCCAAAGAAAACTTATTATTTCAGATTTTCCACTATTTTCCATCATCAACATTCCATATAAACTCAGAAGACTCGTGTAGGTTCACTGGTGGTTCTGGATAGTAAATAAAATGTCTATATCTGTGTTGTAGTCATGGCGACCCCTGGTTCCTATCACCACCACTGTAAAGACATCTGAACCATTTCACACCAAACCACTCTGAGTCACTCTGATTACATCTAAACACTGGATTATTCAGAAATTTTGAAACACTGGTGGAATTCCCCTTTAACTGTTGTCTCTTTCATACCCAAACTAAGCTGTTCCCACATACTTCAGGCGACCATCGTGATCTTCATCTCTTTTGAAACGTAACACAAGTTTTTCACCACAGTCAGAATAACCGTATGAATAACTGCCACAGAGTAAAGAGGCTATAAAACGTTTTGCGGGTTCTGAATTCTGAAATTTCAAGCTTTTTAACAGTGTGTTGGATCACCGAATTGCTGGATGATTTGATGAATTAAACTGATTTTTAAAAACCAGAAGTGAATGACGGAAGTGTGTCCTGGTCCCGGCACCGTGATATGAAGAGGTTAACAGCAACGTTACCCATTCTGAATGTTTTCCGTGTTGTACTGAACTCCGATGCTCTCCTTGCTGGTCTTCTCTCGCCCGCATGGTTATGATAACCAGGTTTTAAAGCATTAACATACCTTCCAAGTCCTGCTCATAGTGGGGGTCTGTGGCCCCCTGCTCTGGGGGAAACTCGTCCACCAGCCGGCCCTCCTGCATCACCCGCGTGATCTCCCTGAGCTGGAGCAGCAGCGCCTCCTCCTGATCCGCACTGACAGGACCCGCCCTGCGGCACAGACAGATAAGACATCCAGTAAGAGCAACACAGAAAGGACAGCCTGACCAGCGGCGGCAACAAGTAAGTATCAAGTCTCGAGACTCAAGTCCTGAGTCAAGACAGTCAAGTCTCGATTCAAGTCCTGAGTCAGTCTGAGTGTCCAGTCCCAAGTCCCAGTCTTCGAGTCCTAAACTAGTCAAGTCTGCATTCTTGTTGTCGGAAGAAAACCTCGTGTCTCCAAAATGGTAACTTCACAGGAGAAGGAAAAACATACTTCACTTTTAATGGAAGTCAATGGAACCAGACTTTTTTCCAAGTCATTCTGGGTCGTTTCTTTTAGTTCATTCATCATCAAATTTACACACAATGTAAAGGGTAACAGGTATTTTTAAATTATGTCAAAAACTGAAACATCAAAAATGGAGATACGAGGTTTTCTTCCGACCACAGTGAAACACTGTTATACAGCGTTTTTTAAAAGAATACTATTAAATTTAAACATTATATTTGAAATTAGTTTTTAATGCACAGCAGCAATAGAAGAACCCTTTTCAAAAAGGTCCTATATAGAACCATTTTCTTTACTAAAGAACCCTTGAAGAACCATCTTTTTTAAGTGTGCACCTGCCATACAGGTGTGTTTGAAACAGCTAAGCAGAAAATTGCCAATTCTATTTTTTTGTAATGTACACCAGAGGGGTGGAGCTACACGGGAGGGGTTTCTGATAATGTGGCCAGTAGGCACATAAACAAAGGCTATGTTGAGACTGCCAGCCCAAATCTGATTTCTGTCATATCCAGGTTGATTTATGATCGTCTGAACAGCTAAAAACACATCAAATCTGATTTCTGTCATATCCAGGATGATTTATGATCGTCTGAACAGCTAAAAACACATCAAATCTGATTTCTGTCATATCCAGATCGATTTATGATCGTCTGAACAGCTAAAAACACATCAAATCTGATTTCTGTCATATCCGGATTGATCCAGAACAAAAAGCAGAGGAGCGAGCGAACCTGTCCGGGCTGCCTCGCTGAGCTTGGGCTCTGGACACTATTCTCTCCATCACCTCCTCCGTCTCCTTCAGCCTCTCCTGAAGCTGGGTCAGCTCAAAGTCCGCTGAAAAGCATCATGGGATAATTTTAGTAAAAACGGGGCCTTCAGGAGTCGGTCAGCTGTAGAAGTGAACAGAGAACACGTACTGATTTTTCTCTTCAGATTCTCTGATCTGACAGCGGGGAATCTGCTCTCATGAGGCTTCGCCGTTTTCCCTTTGGACGTGATCTTTTAGAGGAACGATAAACAAAAGGCAAGTTTACAGAGCACCTTTCATTCACTGCGGTCATTCAAAGAGCTTTACAGATGATGAAATGTAATGATGTGGGAGATTAGAGACATGATTAAAACAGTAGATTCAAAAAAGAAAAATTAAACAATAAATTCAAGCTGAAATGATAATAGAGTGGCGTTAGAGCAGAGAAGTGCAGCAGAGCTAACAGTGTTTTTCCTTCTTTACTCCTAGTGAGACTCTGGCAGCTGCATTCTGAACCAGCTGAAGCTGTTTGTCTTTTTTGGGAGTCCAGTTAAGCGACCATTACAGTGATCAATCCTGCTAGTACACCCAGGTTACGCGCTAGTTCTTTAGCCACATCACACAATCAGAGGAATTTGTGCCAGATTGAAAATCAGTCACTACAGTGGAAAACAGTGAAATGCAGTGCACACATACATTACTGCTCGATAATGAGATACAGAATACGAGCCACAATGAAAACAAACCCTCTATTACACTGTTTACACTGCACTTCACCTCTATACTGAGAAACAGTTCAGCAGCAGGATTTACATTTAAAAATAAAATGCTGAATTTGTGCCAGAATGTAATACAATCCGCCCTGAAATGTGATAAAATCACAGCTACACTGCTTTAGACTGTGCAGCACTTTGAACAGCATTAAATCAGTGTAGTTAATTAAATCTTTAACTTTTCATTTAGGCTCATTTTCTGCATCTTACTGTTTAAATGTAATCTCATGTGTTCACTGCAGTTCACTGTTCTGGTTGTGTTTCAATGAAGCAAATCCATTTGAAGTACAAAACAGAGGTGAAAACAGCGTAATAGAGGTTTTGCTTTTCATATTCTGTTTGTCAAATGTGGAAAAGTCATGTAATGTGTGCTTTTCGCTGTTTTCACTGTTCTGATTGTATTTCAGAGGGAAATCTGTTTAAAGTGCTGCACAGAGTAAAACAGTATAGCTGTGATTTTACTACATTTTAAAGTGGATTATATTCACAAATTCAGCATTTCATCTGTAAAGTGAAAATCCTGCTGCACTGTTTTTCAGTAAAGAGCTGGAGTGAGGTGTAAACAGTGTAACAGAGGGTTTGTTTTCATTCTGGCTCATATTCTGAGTCTCACTGTGGAACAGTGATGTCATGTGAGCACTGCATTTCACATATTTCCACTGTAGTGACTGATTTTCAATCTGGCACAAATTCCTCTCCGTACAGTTTCAGTGAAGGACGAATGTTCCTTAAATGTGAACGTTAAAATCATCACCTTAAAGATGATGTAAAGGATGTACAGGAGGATCCCGAATCCGTAGACCGGAATGATCTGTCCCGCAAGGTTGGATTTTCCCCCAGCGGTTGTGCCGCCCTTCGCCCTGGCGATGGCCTCGGGGTTGTGAGCCCTGGAGAAATGCCCCCCGGACCCCCGCGCAGGCTCTGGAGCCGCCTTCCTGTGGAGCATCGGAGGGAAATGTCCAGCAGGCCCTGGACAACAACAGGACATCAGCACACAGGACTGACTGATGACTGACTGATTCTTTTAGTGCCACACATGTCGGCAGTTCAGCTCTGCTGTACCACAAAACACATAAACATACAATACAAGACACATACAGTTAATAATATACATTATACAGCATCTGTTAGAGGGGAATCATGGGAAATTACACAGTAATGGCATCTGTACCTGATTACGACGGCTGGAAATCTGACAGAGACTATAATGAGATTCACGACTCGGAAGAGTTGAGTGACGTTAATCACAGACGGAAAAAAGCTGATCTAGTCTTAGTTTTTAAAGATCTGTAGCTCCTCCCAGAAAGAAGTGGTCTGAAAAGTTCGAACGCTGGATGAGAGGAATCTGAGATTATTCTCTCTGCTCCATTAAAGGGGAGCTCCACCCATGTAAAAAAAATGTAGCAGAATTCCGTTGTTGCGATGTAAAGTCATTCAGAGTGGTTTAATATGAAATGGTTAACTGTAGACAAAGTTACAGACTCCAATTTCTTTAGCTATAGTGGTGGTGATAGGAACCAGGGGTCGCCATGACTACAACACAGATATAGACATTTTATTTACTATCCAGAACCACCAGTGAACCTACACGAGTCTTCTGAGTTTATATGGAATGTTGATGATGGAAAATAGTGGAGAATCTGAAATAATAAGTTTTCTTTGGGGACTATTTTGCCTCACAGCGCCCTGCATGTATCCCTCCACCATGAATGGAGTTTAAGTTCTCTAAACTATCATAAAACAGTGTCTCAGTCATCAGGCAGTGAATTCATAACCATTTCATGTAGGAACTTTCTGTGAGGGAGCTTTTAGAGGTGGACGTCTGGTTCCTATCTCCACCACTGTGAACAGTTCTGACTCGGTAAGTTTATCTAGAACGGAGCGTTTCACTCCAAACCACTCTGAATGACTCTGTTTAAATCTCAACCATCTAATTATGTGGAACTTTTGAAAAATTGGTGGAGTTCCCCTTTAAGAGTGCACTAAGTGTAAACAGAGTCCTCTGAAGGACGAGCTGCACCAATTATCTTTAAAGCTTTACTGACAATACCTCGTAATTTAATAATGCAGCTCGTATTACTGCAGGGAGAACCCGGCTGCGCTGCTCTCTCGTTCTTCAGTGACCGACTGAAGAACCGGAACAAATTTTCAGCTTTGATACTATTTTTAACTCTGAGATCAAGAACTGAATTATTTTACTTGTTATATTATTTAGAGAGCTCTAATTACAAACACACTTAAAAAAGATGGTTTTTCAAGGGTTCTTCAGATTGATGGAGAATGTGTTGTGTATGGTTCTATACAGCACCAAAAAGGGTTCTACTATTGTTATAACAAGCTTGTTATAATAGCAGAACACTTTTTGGTTCTGTATAGAACCATACACAACACAATCTGAAGAACCATTTCACCATACAAAGAACCATTTAAGCATGCAGATGGTTCTATGTGGATCTCATGGTTCTCAATAGAACCACTGTGTTTACTAAAGCACACCTGAAGAACCATTATTTTTAAGAGTGTAGAGTGCAGTTCTATAACCCCCCCCTCCCCTTACAGCTGTTACTCTTCTAATACTGTACCCCCCCCCATAAAAGAGCCCTGCTGGTGACACCCTGTATAAATAAAAATAATGCGTGGCCACAACTTAGTAAGGCGTGGGAATGAGATGATTAAGTCGTGGCCACGACTTAGCAAAGTGTGGGACGAGATCCTAATGCATGGCCACAACTTAGTAAGCCATTATCTCGTTCCCACACCTTACTAAGTCATTGGCCACGTATTAGGATCTCGTTCCCATGCGATAATAAGGCGTGGCCACGCTTTATTTTTATTTATAGAGGATGCCACCAGCAGGGCTCCGTACACAACTTAGTAAGGCGTAGGAACAAGATAATTAAGTTGTGGCCACAGCTTGACAAGGCATGCTCTCGTTCCCACGCTTTACTAATCTCGTTCCCACGCCTTGCTAAGTCATGGCATTATTTTTATTTATACGGGATGTCACCGGCAGGGCTCCGTACTAACCCCCTGTGTTCCTGTGTTCCTGTGTTCTCCTCTCTTACCCTCCGGTTTGCCCTCCTTGTTGTTGTTTACTCCGGCTCTCTGCAGCAGCAGCGCAACGCACAGCGCGAGACCGGAGAGCAGCGCGAGCTGCACAAACGCCGACATCACGAAGGATATAATAACAATAATAATAATAACAATAATAATAATATAATAATAAAATAGAACAGTATGAATAATGTCGATAACGGGGCCGCTGATGATGACCGTCCGCCGCAGAGGGCAGTGATGATGAACGCGGTGATGATTGGTGAATTAAACCGGTGGTCGCGCGCGCTGCTGAGCTTTGTCCGCTACGGTTTATTCGCACCAGCAAATATAAACATCAATCAAATTAATCCTCCAAAATAAACAGAATAAACTGATATTAAACAGGCGCGCGCGGCTCCGCGGCTCCCCATCGCCCCGCGTCGTGGGCGGAGCTTCCGGTCGCTCTCGGATTTACTCGCGAGATTGGCGGCTGCGCTCCCTCTTTTCCGCTTCCGCTGAGAGATGGTGGGTCTGCGTCCGCGCTGAGCGGCAAAAACACAATTTTAACATCAAAATCCGCCTCAATCCGCTGCTTAAACCGCCCGGATCACAGGGGTAGACTTTACCGCTGTGGTCCGCGGTGTGTGGGGCTTCATGTTTTGTAGATATTGTGGCGATTAGACGCGATAAAGTGCAGAAATGCTTCGTTTGTAGGTTCGAGCCCGTAGCTAGCCTCGCGCTGAGGCGGCTGAGAGCGGGAAAGTTCATAAATATGAGAAACTCAGCCCGGGTTCCGCTCAGTTTTGGGTTAATCTGGTAAATAAGAGCGGATTAAAGTCGGAATAAGGTCTGAATAATCTTTATAAAGCCCGCTGAACGCGCGGAGTCTCTGATTAGCGCGCTAGCCGGTTAGCCGTTAGCTCGCTGAGGTGACCGCGGTGTTGGAGTGTGGTGGAGTGTAATGGAGTGTAGTGGAGTCCGCGGCGCGGCGGATCTGTGTGTTTGTGCTGGGTGAGCTGCACTGTCTGTGTTTTTGAGCCTCTGACCGCTTACTGTTCGTTTTCTGTCTCTCCAGCCGACCAAAACGCGCAAGACCAGGAAACTCCGCGGGCATGTGAGCCACGGCCACGGCCGAGTGGGTAAGCGGCCTTTAAGCTCCCGTTCCCGGGCTGTGTGTGGCTCTAAGACGCCCCATAATCATTTAAATCTGGTTTCTCTGCTCAGGCAAACACAGAAAGCACCCCGGAGGCCGAGGTAACGCCGGTGGCATGCATCACCACAGGATCAACTTCGACAAATAGTAAGTGAACGTGCTCAGCTTTTCCGTTCCACCTTAAATGGTGCAGCAGTCACATTCTGATGCCTGCACGGTTTAGATTTTCTGCATGATGGTTGAAATGTAAAGTCATTCAGAGTGGTTTGGTGTGAAACGCTCCATTCTAGATAAACTTGCCGAGTCAGAACTGCTCACAGTGGTGCTGATAGGAACCAGACGTCCACCTCTAAAAGCTCCCTCACAGAAAGTTCCTACATGAAATGGTTATGAATTCACTGCCTGATGACTGAGACACTGTTTTATGATAGTTTAGAGAACTTAAACTCCATTCATGGTGGAGGGATACATGCAGGGCGCTGTGAGGCAAAATAGTCCCCAAAGAAAACTGATTATTTCAGATTTTCCACTATTTTCCATCATCAACGTTCCATATAAACTCAGAAGACTCGTGTAGGTTCACTGGTGGTTCTGGATAGTAAATAAAATGTCTATATCTGTGTTGTAGTCATGGCGACCCCTGGTTCCTATCACCACCACTGTAAAGAAATGAGTCTCTACAATCATTTCTTTTCTAAACTTTCTTTTGATGATGAGTCTTCAAGGTTGGAGGAGCTGTCAGACTGAGGGATGCGATGCTCTGCTATAGAATATTGCGTAATATGATTAAAATTGTATGCCACTTTTAGACCCAGAAGGCTCATTTAACACCCAACATACGAGCAGCGTATTAATCAGTTGTGCTGGATGAGGGAAAAGCTCATGTGAAATGTGGGGTCCTTTGACTGTCTTCAAACTCCTGTGTACTGAAGTAAATGTGGCTGGACTTAAGTCTTCATTATCATTTGGAAACTGCAGTGACTGCATGTCCTAAAGGTCGTACCATGTGATGTACCCACCATGCGTTTCAGGTGTTCTGACTGAGCTCTTGTCTTTCAGCCATCCTGGTTACTTCGGAAAGGTGGGCATGAGGCACTACCACTTGAAGAGGAACACCGTTTTCTGCCCAACCATAAACCTGGACAAGCTGTGGACCCTGGTTAGCGAGCAGACCAGAGTGAACCACGGCAAGAAGCCTGAGGGCCCAGCACCCATCATTGATGTTGTCCGTGCTGTAAGTGAGCATATTCTATAGGACCTGATTTTGTTAACAGTCTCTGTGTAGCTTTATTGCAGAAAAACCTGGATTTATTTGACATAAAGATGTTCAGAGACATTTTTATACTATAAACGTTGACAGCCAGAAAGCACACCTGGCATGCTTGATATTGATCCTCTAAGGGCCTGTGTCATTTATGAATAGCAAAGAAAAATAGATGGTTTTATAATGAAACATCAGGAATAGTGTGTTCAAAAGAGGTTTTAGATAATTAATTGTAATATGAATTAAAGATTTTGGCTTCCAAATTGAATAAAAGTCCATTAGGGAGTGTCTGGCCTGTGTACAGTTTAGATGTTTCTCAGCGCCAGTCTGGGCGACCCGCTGTCATTCATGTGTTTTCTGCTCCAACACACCTGTCCTGCTTGTTAAGGGCTCGCTAATGAGCTCGGTCAGGTGAGGTGGGGTAGAGAACAGTAGGCACTGTAAGGCAGGGGTTCCCTAGGACTAGATATGAGAACCATTGAACAGGATGGGTCTACGTCAGTGGTTCCCAACTCAGGCAGGCTTTGTTAATTAGCTGATCAGCTGTGTTGGACTGGTTGCTGGATTGGGGGGCATTTAGGCATTGATTTCATGCATTAAGTGGATTTTGGTAAAAATATTAATGGCGTAAGGAAAGATGAGGAGGTTATGGAAGCTGAGCAGGTGATACTGGAAATGTAGTTATGGTTAATCAGTTATTTATATGTACATGTGTGTGTTTATATGTATGTATATGCGTGCTTTGTTGTGTTCTTACAAAGCAGCTTTACAGAAATCCAGGTCCAAGCCTCTGTTGCTCTTAGCAGCAAGGTAACCCTCTCTAAGAGTAACAGGAAGGAACCAAGACCCAAAAGGACCACCCATCCTCTGGTCGACACCAGATAGCAAAACAATAACACGAGTGATACGAAGAGTGACTTAAAAATTAATAAACGATATTAAATGTTGATAAAAGGAAAAGTAAGTGATAACTGAGTTTAGTCACAGATGCACTGCATGACTTTGATGGTCAGATCGCTGTACTGTTCACAGTACACAACTTGCTGTGTTGTAGTCGGGAGTCTTTAAGTCATTGTGGTTTGTACACCATGTGACTGATCAGCGACACGATCTTTCACCAGAAGGAATCTCTGCTCTCCAAACCGCGTTGTCACAGGAGGAGTGACCCAGGGAACGATGTGATTCTGGAAAGGCTTATCTTTCTTCTGAAAATGTCAGCTAGACGCAAGTGATCCAAGTTGTTTGTGCGCTGATTTGCAGCGAAAAAACAAGGGGGAAAAGAATCCGGATGATAATGGGGGGGTTGATATTGCACAGCTCCTCCCCTGAGTTCCCTTCACCCCCTGTCCTGTGCTCTCATTGCTGTAGGGCGTCGCCACACTGACTGCCAATCACAGCACTGTCCACACCAGAAGAGTTTGGATGTTTAGCCTGCCTGATCTGTCAGGTGTCTGTGGGGCATCGCTGAGTCTCTCAGATGACGTCTTTGAATAATTCCCATTTGCTTCTGATCTGGAGCTTTTCTCAGGTCCTAAACCTGTCAGCGAGTGGGAAAGAGGACTGTTGGTGACTGTTGAAGCCTGTAATGACGATCTGTTAGTATGAATGAGCTCAGTGCTGCGAGGCAGGTGAAGCAGGGTCTATGGGTAGTTTATCAGGAGGGTCATTATATGCGGGTGAGGCTTTCTGCCCGGTCCTGTATTTGGATCTCCTCTCTGTTCTGGGCTGAGGGGTGTAATTAGTGATGGTGCTGATGGCCGTAGCAGCTTCTGAAAGATAGAGCTTAAAACGTCGATCCTCAGTGAGTGGAACGTTTCCGACTGTACTTTGTGCTGGAGGTGAATCTCCTCTAGGAGGCGATGACCAGTTCTGGACGTGTTTAGTGAGCGGCTCTTGAATGCGACTCGTGTGAAGAATCAGATTCACTTTTGTTAGTGATCCTGAATTAAATCATGACTTTTGCAGATCGATCCATTGGGAGGTTGGAGTGTTGAGATTGAAGTTTGTTGCCGAAAGACTTCCAGAAGAAATGCTTCTGAAAGATTCAGGTTTCCAGCTCTGTGTTCTAGGTATCTTAAGATAGTTCTATCAGGGCATCTGCAGTTTAGAGTTGTTGCTCAAACATCTGACTGAAGCAAAGTTCGAATCATGTTGGAAAACGATGTGCGACTAACTTTGATTTTTTTTTTTTCTGTGAGAGGTGATGAACAGGGATTCCGTTAACTTTGGGGAAGGAAATGTGTAATTATTCTGGAAATGCGTCATAACACAAATACAAAGCTCTGAAAAGCAGTTCAAAGATATGCACTACTTAGTCATAGGAAGACGTTCGGACTTGGCACTTTAGTGAGAGCCTGCCTCGAGTGGCGTTCTGGGCTGGTTTGGGGGGGAGGAGCTCGTTATTGCTGGTTTGGGGGAGGAGCTTGTTATCGCTGGTTTGGGGGGAGGAGCTCGTTATCGCTGGTTTGGGGGAGGAGCTCGTTATCGCTGGTTTGGGGGGAGGAGCTCGTTATCGCTGGTTTGGGGGAGGAGCTTGTTATCGCTGGTTTGCTTTCACAAGAACTCCATCCGAACCGTGGATCGATTGCTCCGTTCCATGCGTCACTTTTCTGCATGCAGGTTTGCAGAATTGTCAGCAGCTTCATCCGTTTGCTGCTTTTTATCGTTTTCCTTGGATTCAAACACTCAAGCAGTGAAGATCAGCGCTTTGTCCTCATCACGACACTTCAAAAGGGAAGTGACGCGCTGAGCGATCAGTCACGCTGCAAAATGAACCAGTCGCACGGCGCTGGGAGCGGAGAGCTTCCACACGATCAGCGGACCCACCAGAGTTCCCCAGACCACCGATTTCAGGAATACCAGAGATCGGCTCTCTGTTCCGCTCCTGGACTCAAACAGCTTCACACTCGACCAAACGTACCAAACTCACAGAGCAAGCGGACCTGGATCCGCATAAGAGCTCTAGTGTTAAAATGGGCAACAGTTTATTTGGATAGTCCACTTTAAATGCTTTGTCGATACTCAATTTACTTTAAATTTACATTCAACTAAATATCTACGAAGTTGATCAGAATTTTTTAACTCTAAACCTGCTCTATTAACCTTAATCCCCCCACCCCCCACCCCGGTCAACATCTTAACCCTAAACCCCACCACTGTTTAGAATCAACTGAGTTTCCACAGATAGTTTAACAGCATCTGTAGATCATCTGTAGCGGACTTTCCAAATAAAATGAGAGCTGAAAACTCCCGAACTCTCCTCTTAAACTCAGCTGGTACTGGTTGGAAATGTAGAACTAGTTACTGTGGGTCTCAGACTCTGTCCTCAGCCAGTCTGAGGTTGTGTTTTTTGTGTGTAAACTCGAATTAAGTGTTAATAAAAACTTACCATGTATTTTTATGATCTGTTTTTCAGGGCTACTTCAAAGTGCTCGGCAAAGGCAAGCTGCCCAAGCAGCCCGTCATCGTGAAGGCGAAGTTCTTCAGCCGACGGGCCGAGGAAAAAATCAAGGGTGTTGGAGGAGCTTGTGTACTGACTGCATAAGCGAGCGCTGGTTTTGCAAAATAAACGATATTAAAAAAAAAAGTCCTTTCTGTGGTTTTTAGATTGTTACTGAAGTTGGGGGGCAGAAGGGGACGTTCAGTTACCACTGCGTGAATTAAACCCTGTTAGAGCTTCATTAGTTTTACCGAGGGAAGTCATACAGTTTAAAGGACACTTTCAGTGGTTGTTCAAAATTTCTGCATAATGAAATGGTTTAGATGTGAATAGAGCGGTTCAGAGTCGTTCAGGGTGGTTTGGTGTGAAACACTCCAATCTAGATAAACGTACCGAGTCAGAACTGTTCACAGTGGTGCTGATAGGAACCAGACGTCCACCTCTAAAAGCTCCCTCACAGAAAGTTCCTACATGAAATAGTTATGAATTCACTGCCTGATGACTGAGACACTGTTTTATGATAGTTTAGAGAACTTAAACTCCATTCATGGTGGAGGGATACATGCAGGGCGCTGTGAGGCAAAATAGTCCCCAAAGAAAACTTATTATTTCAGATTTTCCACTATTTTCCATCATCAACATTCCATATAAACTCAGAAGACTCGTGTAGGTTCACTGGTGGTTCTGGATAGTAAATAAAATGTCTATATCTGTGTTGTAGTCATGGCGACCCCTGGTTCCTATCAGCACCACTGTAAAGACATCTGAACCATTTCACACCAAACCACTCTTACAAGAATACTATTTGTACTAGGTTAGTGGGGGGGCGGGGGGGGTGGGGGGCAGGGCTGTGCCTCCCCTTACACATATTTAAACAAAGACTGGTTTAATGAACTCCAGGATAATAGTCTCCACGATCACTGATCCTTTATATATAACTTGAGAGATGCTGAATTTAATAACTGGAATGAGTTCATATAATTAGCACACTGAGCAAAACATAGTAAGTGTTTATTTCATGTTGCTGTAGTCTCTGAATCAGCCACATAAAATAGTTTTATTTCAGTTCACTGCCAGAGTTAACAGAGTCATTCATCAATAGAGGACCACAGGGTGGCAGCACTTCACCAAAAACATTATTAAATTATTGTCCAAACAAATGAAAAGGTCAGTGTAGGGCTGGACAATATGACATTTAACATCACTGATAAATTATGTAGCAGTACAATATGCTTTTCCGTATGATGTACAACAATCAGGCATAACATTCTGACCACCTCCTTGTTTCTGCGCTCATTGTCCATTTTATCAGCTCCACTTACTATATAGGAGCACTTTGTAGTTCTACAGTTACAGACTGTAGTCCATCTGTTTCTCTGATACTTTGTTAGCCCCCTTTTACCCTGTTCTTCAGTGGTCAGGACCCCCATGGACCCTCACAGAGCAGGTACTATTTGGGTGGTGGGTCATTCTCAGCACTGCAGTAAGACTGACGTGGCGGTGGTGTGTTAGTGTGTGTTGCCCTGGTCTGAGTGGATCAGACACAGCAGTGCTGCTGGAGTTTGGACAATGAGCATAGAAACCAGGAGGTGGTCATAAAGTTATGCCTGATTGTTGTTTATCGTCAGTGCTTGTAGAAATTGACCAACTGCTTGTTTCATTATGAGAGTAAAATCAGTCCATTTAACTGGATTTAGTGACAAATGCAGAATAAAATCACTGCGTTCAGTTTGATAGTATTTATAAAATGTAGCTCTGTTGGCTCTTTTTCTCTGTTCCAGCTGATCAGATGTCTGAAAAAATAAGTGTCGCAACGTTTCGCCATATAATGACTGAAGTCATTTCTACTATAATACTCAAAACACCAAGTCAAGTGTGGCAAGTTAGCTTTATCTTTATTAGGTCTGCAAAGACTCACCATTTGGTTAATATAACAAAAAGAACACTCTTTTAAAGCATATAAAACCATGGAGTAACACACTTAATGCTGTTTAATATATCAGGACATTCACACAGAAAGCTGCTGTTTCCCCTGACGAGGCCTGAACCCCAAACTCTGACCACTCAAGTGGCCTTCAATAACCCCTGACCCAGCGGATCCCCAGTGAATAATCAGAAATCTCACCAGCATCATCTGGCATTTTGTTAACATTATAAATGAAGACTTTTGAAGTCTAAAATATTTAAAAGAATAAAAAAGACCCAAATCATTCGGATTAGCTTTGTTACACTGATTGGGAGGCAGAGCTTCACTTCTCCTCATTAAAACGGCTTTATGATCAGGGGAAACGTACAAAAGCAAGAGATCTCAATAGACGAGTTAAAGGGAAACTCCAGCATTTTTCAGCCTCATCTCATCAGTTTCCTTTATTTCCAAGTGCAGGAAAAGCAGACAGAGCTGAGGTTTAAAGTGCAGGAGTTTTCCTTTAATATTAAATGTTTGGCACAAACAGTAAACTCTCCTTCTCCTTTAAGAAAAAGTCTCCAGCATGTTTATAGTGCATTTCAGCTCAGCAGCGTGGGCGTCAGGGGGTCACGATTTAAGGCACCGTCACGTGGAAGGGGCTTCCAGGCACTGTTTCGTCGCCCCATTTCACAATCACAACGTAGCTTCCCTTCTCCTTCACTGTGTAGGTGACGTTGTAGAGCCTGTTGCCCAAGTGCTTCACGTAAACGTCCTCGCACGGCGTCCGGGGGCCGTGCACTCCCACCATCAGCATGTTGGTGCCTGTAAAGCAGAAAAACAGCTCCGTTCACTCTGGTCAAATTTGATCAGATTACGGTAGTTATCTATACTAGCAATCAGGTTCTGGTAAATATCTGATACCTGATCTGATCTACTGATTCAGAAACAGTAAATTCCATAGCATGTCTGTATGTGGGCACATCCTTATCAGTGCAAACGTAACTGCAACATCTAAGGCCGTGTTCAGACTGATGGCCCAAATCTGATTTTTGTCATAACCAGATTACAACCAGACTGATTTTTAATAGTCTGGAAAGCAAAACCACAGGAAATTTGATTTCTGCAAATCAGATCTAAACCACATTTGGAGGTTGTTTCAAAATGTGACTCCAATCAGATATTTTACAGAAGCGTTTTAGTCTGGACGCTCTGGACACTCAAAGTCTGTTCAGACTGCAGGTAAATCAGATTTGTCTCTCAAATCAGATTTTTTGAGTCGACCGTTCTATAATCTGTAAGCGATCAGATCTGATTTGTGTGTCCAGACGTCACCAGTCTATCTGCATGGGTTGCCGTGGTAACGACGTAGGCGTCAGTAACTACGTAGCTACGCTGTTGACGTGGATTTCAGTCGCGGATGCAGGAGGTCCGTTTATAATGTTTGTGTGCTTCTACGTTCCTAAAACAGTCATAATTCATTTCTACGTAATCATTTTCCAGACTCTCTTTATCCCTCACAGTTAAATGGGCTGTTTTTGTTACTGTGCCTTTAAAACTGAAATATGTAAATGAGCTCTGTTCTGATTAGCTCCCTTGAATTGTGCCACATTCAAAATATATGAGCTGTATATGGGCTGGGTTTGTTTTAAATAAGTAAGTGTTTTCAGTCTACTTCAGACTGTTGTATTGAAAGTGGGAGTAACTGGGGTTTTCATGGTCCTGATGCAGCTTCTCTGTTTGAGGTGAAAGTTCTCACCTGCTTTGCTGCAGTCCACAGTGAAGGCGTTCTTCTGGCCTATGAAAGCCCTGGACAGTCCAGCCCCCTGACACACCACTCGGCTAGCGTCGGAGGACAACGATGAACTGGACGCGGAGCTGTAGGCCCCGCCCACCTTTGAGCTTTTAGTGACCGTCTCCACGAGGACGGAGGAGGTTTCATGCAGACTGTGGCCTCCAGACAGACGGACACCTACAGCAGGAGACGGACGGGTTACACAACGTTCACCACACACACTGGGCTCTTACATAACCGAGGAAATGTTCCAGTTTTGGTGTTTTTGTGTTTCTAAATGTACAGAACAGTATTAAATCTGTAAGGTAAAAAAAGTATTTGAGCTTTTATTTCATGGTGCTGTCATGATTTTTATTTTTTATTTAACTTCCACACTTACAGTGACTCATTTTTCTGAAGCAGACCACTGGGTGGCAGCACTTCATTACAAAACACAACCTTCAGCATTTAATGCTGAATTTTATCTAAAGAAATTAAGATTTAATTTAAAAATAAATTTCACTGCAGAGAACAAAGGTCAGTCAACTTTTCTGTCTTTGATTCAGATTTAGCAATGAAAGGAATGCATTAGATTAGATTAGTCATTACATTTCACAATAATAATAATGACACGATTAAGTACTAAAAGCAATAAATTAAATGTATAATAAGAAAAGATTTAAAAAATACTTGAAAGCAGAAAAAAATTAGAAAAACTGAAATGATAAAAAAATAACAAAATAAAATGACAAGCAAATAAAAATGTGAACTTGAAAAATGTGAACCTGCCTAACTGTAAGAGGTGATGAGTTCCACAGTTCAGAGGCAAAAAACAGAAGGACGCCTCTCCACAGTGTCTGTACTTATACTGTCGTTAATATTTTGCCTCAACAAGTAAAATGTGACTCGGATGTGCTGGATTGAGGCAAATGTGAATAAAAGAAAGCAGTAAATGCAACGAGACACACTGCGGGACTTATGAGTGGGCAGTATGAGTAATGTATACTGTAATTCTAATGATTTTACATTTTACACTTGATTCTGCGTAACCATATCTAAAGTAAACATAACTAGGAAGCGCAATGGCTAATCGGCTGATGTGGCCACTTCAGGCTTTTACCTTAATGTTTGCATACGATGAACAAAAATAAGACAAACTGTTAATCGCAGTTATTTATATGACAACCGTCAGCTAAATTTTATGACTGCGACTGTCGTAGTTACTGGTTTTGATGTTGATAACTGAATTATATCACTCTCATATCTCAGTAATCTCTCTGCCTGTCTGTATAATACAGTAAATCAGCCAGACGCTCTTACACGCTTCTCTATCACATCCACGTTTCTATTTCCACCTGAGATTCACACTCTGCTTCCTGTGCAGCGACATCAGCCCGCGCTCGGAGATGACATGTTTATGTAACACTGTGGGGAGAATTGCATAAGGTTTTGTTCCATTTTTAAAGTAAGCTTGCTGTTATAGGAGGGATCGCATTGCTCCCGCTTGTGGACTTCAGCTCAGCTCTGACCACAGATATTCGTGATTATGATCCTTTAGGATGTGATTCAATGCATCATGAAATCTCAAATTTTCTCCACTTCGACTGGATTATTTTAGCACTATTCAAACTTACTTTTAGAAATATGTTCAGTCCACAAATGTAGCTGGAGAAACTATTTACACAGTAAATATCACTGAGCCTGAGAATTTTATTTTGGCCAAAAATTGAGCACATGCTTCACTGAACGTTATTACAATCGACTAATAAACATTCCAAAATCGATGCAGCTGAATCGGCACCTTCAGATCAGTCTATTTCTAAACCTTGGCTCTGTACCTGTGACTTTGGCTTTGAAAGGGCTTCCCACGATGTGCTGCGGTCCACCGTATTTGATGGAGATGAGATAGTTTCCAGGCGCCATGGGGGTGTAGTTGATTTTGTAGCCCTCCACGCACTCCACACAGTCCATTTTCACCTTGGAGGGACCGTCGATCGTCACAGATAAAGCTCCAGACCCAGCATTGCAGGTGTTGACCACAAACTCGGCAGGAACACCTGCAGAACACGTCATGAGTTAATCAGAGACAAACGCTGAGCTACACTACAGTACAAAACTACACGGCAAAACTACACCACAACATTTAGGAATCACTTGTCAGATTAATATTTTTTGTTATTTTATATTAAATGAGTTTTTTTATATATCATAAATAAACTAGGCATCGTTTTTGTTTTATTTAATATTTCATTAGTATTTTGGGAACAAGAAGAAGTGAATATACTGATATGCTGGCTACTTCAGAAACGTTACTGTTGATGTTATACAACTTTCATAGATTTCTCAATTAATTTTTGAATCATCTACAGCTCTGTTCTTCATGCTGGACACATTTACATTTCATTCCTCCTTTTTTTGGTTTACAGCATCCAAGGTTGATACTAATTATTTGAAAGCTGCAAAGTTGCTAAGGATTCACTCTTAAAAAGATGGTTCTTCAAGGATTCTTTAGTAAAGAAAATGGTTCAATATAGAACCATGAACATTTGAAGAATTTTCTGCTATTGTTATGTCAATCTTGTAATAATAGAAGAACGCTTTTTGGTGCTATGTGTGTGTTTTAGCACCACATTAGAATGATTTCATACATTTGAATGAAAAGTGGTTTGTAGTCAGCTAATGGTTCTCGTCCTGTGTTACCACTTTAATCACCCTGATTAATGGTATATGTTATATTTTGAGCTGTACCTGTGCAGCCGGCCTGTAACCCGGGGCCGTAAGCGGACACCAGGCCGGGGTCACCTGCATGACCCATATCACCCACACGCACGTTAAAGGGGCTGCCGGGGATGTGGCTGCCGTTAAACTTCACATCGATGGAGTGAACGCCGTTCTCCCGCGGGATGAAGCGAATGGCGCTCTTATCTGTGCAGAGAGAGCAGAAGTGTAAAGCAGAGCCAGATTCACAGATTTTTGTCCTGATCATTCACAAAATACTGAACGATACTGAAACACTCCAGCATTTTCCAACCGAACCTGCCGCATCGCAGTATAAAGTAAATCACCACAGATAAAGATCACAAGATTTATAAGACCAGAAAACTTTAGGGAACGCAAAACTAACCAGAACTACTTTCTGCTTTGTTGCTCCATTGTCTAATGGATAAAACTTCATAAACACAGCTTCCATCCAAACACCTGTACCGTAGTTGCAAATTTAGAATTATTATAGTCCCATATCTTAAAATGTTTACTACGGCATTCAGATACTGCCCATTAGTGTTTATTATAAGTGTGAGTTGAGATTTTGTTCTTTTACGAAGTACAGGGAAAATTATTGTCTGTTATAATCAACCATGAAGGCTAGGTTGAAAAACTTTGGAGTATTCATTTAATTAAATTGAATTTAATCATTCTTTCTGGACTCGTGTAAGAGCATGAGCTGTGTTCCCCGACTCACCAGCATCCACATCAGTGACGTAACATTCCTCCACCACTCCGGATGGACTGTGGACCTTCGCATCGATCACACCTCGCGCCCCATTACGCTGCACAGCAAAAGAGGCTTCCTGATTCACCCTCAGATCCTTCTCCTGGAGAGAGAGAGAGAGAGCGAGAGAGAGAGCATATACATCAGTCAGTAAATACAGCTTACATGAGAAAAACAGTAAAAAAAGAAACTTTACTGTTGGTGTGTATGAGTTTGTTATGTTCAGCTCTGCAAACTGAAGCCCAGCTTAGGGTCCGTTATGGGCACACTTAATCCCCCCATAACAGTCCAGGAGTCAACTTACAGCTCAAGGTCAAAACCCACTGCAGCAGGTCAGCCATGGCTCATGGACACCCTGCTCCAGTTTATCCCAGAACCGTGTTTTTGTAACTGCATACCCATGTCAGATACTGATTGCCTGGTTGTGTTGAACCCTGGTAGCCTGGGTTCACACTTACGGGGGGGGGGTGCGGTGTGGACTGTTACGTTTCACTCCATTTTTTGTGTTGCTGTTTTGTTTGTGCCTCTGTATGTTCCATCTTTCCAGCCTCGAACATTCCATGATCCAGTCCTTGTCTCCTATTTATTTTCACTCCAGTCCATGCTCCAGTCTACACTACAGTACAAACTTGAGTACATACTTCAGTCCATGCTCAGTCCATCTTTCAGTCCATGCTCCAGGCCATACATCAGTTCATGCTTCAGTCCGTACTTCTGTCAATTATCCCGTTCAGTCCTTGTTATGACATCAGCTGGAGGGAAGGATGAAAGAGGCCTCCTCGGCTCCACCAACAGATTTTGCTCACTTGTTTCGGCTCACTCGTTTGTTTGTATTGCTAGTTACCTGATTAATCTCTCACTGTTTGGCTTCTGACTCTGCTTTTTTGACTGAGATTTAGCCTTTAAACCTGTTTGCTGTATATTTTTGTATATAGTTTCTTCGTGTGTTTCTGTAAATAACTTCACCAGTGCTGCGTTCAGCCACGACAAAACGTATCAAAATGTTAAACCTAAACGGCGGTGCGCTGAACACTCTGTTGTGTTACACAAGTGTTGCAACTACAGCAGCTGAGAAGGGCATTCTTGGCGTTCTTTTCAAAGGATTTTCGGAGCCTGATTAATGGGTTTAAATACACGTTTAATACTTCAAAATGTTCTTCTACCATCTTCAATTGAGCACCAAGCCGCAGCAGCCGAATTTTGTAGAGGACTTTATTACGATCTGCTGTGTGCTCTGCCTTTTTACATATACATTGCTGCTGATTAGGTAACACCTCTGACACACCCATCAAACGAGAGAAAACGCATCTCAAAGCCCGCTGCACACCGTTTCAACCAAACATGTCATTGAACCTGGAAAACGTAGCAAAATTGTGCACAACGTTTTGAGATTGAACGTGCCCCAGGTGTAGTGTTTAGCTGCCATTTTGTTTGGGTTTTGTGTTGTTGTCTGTGTTCTGGACCTTTTTCGTCTCATTATTGCTCTCTACACACACAGTCACAAAGCATACATTTCCCATCACACCATTTTTTACACCCTGAACGTGGACTGGGTCGTAACATGTTCAGTAACGGTCAGCGTGTTTGGTGGTCACTTACCTGAAGGCTGGTGACGGTCAACCTCCGAGCATCATCAGACAGCGTGGCGATGGGGACAGTGAATGGACTGTCCGGGATGTGCTCGTTGTTGAACTTGATGGACACTTCATAGTCACCTGGAGGATCAGAGGAAAAAGGATTTATTATTCATTCCCAAAACTACAACAACAAACCACAGATGTGCACTCAGCTCTATCAAACCCAAAACCTTCAAACCCTCATGATCTCTTATCAGTAATGCTGTGTTTACAGACTGTTCTGCAAATAACGGGATCACTAAATGCTCTCCTAATGTTCTACCAAGCTTTATCAACTCTGTCTGCTCTGCTATACAGCAGGTAAGTGGTAACCTTTGGCGCTGTTCCTCATTCAGGGTGCCGGAAATGACTCGAGTATCATCACAACCGCATTTCTTATTCGTGTGCACTTCATACGTCTTTGTAACAATCCTTCAAAGCCTATCTGAGGTGCTGGATCTCAGGAATGTTATAAGCTGTATTATTATCTGATACTTTTACTTTTCTGTTTGTGTAAAGTACTTTGAATTGACGCTGTTTATGAAAGGTGCTACACAAATAAAACTGCTTTGCCTAAAGATGTGTGTTCTTTAAAGTAGTATTTTAAAAGCAAAATAAATCAATAACTTGAGAAATGCTGGAGTCAGATGTTATGTTTCAGTGTCTTCACTAGAGCAGGCTGGGTGTGTAATATGTACCTGGCTCCTGTACTATGTAAGAGACTCCACATGATCCGTCTTTCCTGTCCTCAAAAGAAATTTCTGCCTTGCTGGGTCCCTCAACGGCGATGGACAAACCTCCTGCTCCAGCCTCTCGGGTCCAGATACTGAACTCCGCTGGAGGACGAGAATGAAAAGAGAGCGTTAGAGGAGTTTTAGAGTTAGATGAATAGACCAGCTATGGCATGCTTGGTGTCTGACGTTTGCTTCTTCAGTTTTAGCACCAGAGCTCCGAGGCTAATGTTGCTTACGGTAATGGAAGCTAAAACCCCACAACAGTACTGACCATATTTAGGGTTTAGGATGGCTGTGGCTGTTTTTAGCTATACTAATGTAGTTTAGTCCAGGTTTATAGATAACAGTGAGTCATACAGTGTCAGATAATCAAGTCTATTATACATACTGAACATCTCCACACACTAGCTACATTAGCCTCGTAGCTCCAGTGCTAAAACTAAAGAAGCAAACGTCAGAAACCAAACACGTCTTGGTTGATCAACAAAATCTGTAACAAGAAGAAAAATGAGAAAATCTGATTTTTGTCCAAACTAGGGGTGGGCGATATGACAAAATTACGATATCACAATACTTCATGAGATTTTGACGATACACAACATGCATCGCAATATTTAGCTTTTCTCAAATTTAATAAGTTGGAACAGATAAAATTAAAAAATTCAATATAATAATAATTAAATAATTAAACTTGCAACTGCAATGATTTTTATCCAATGTTCTACAAACTGCATTGCACTAAATCCAACAGACCTAACTGTCCACACTTAGTAATGAAACATAGTCAGTCAGTGTTCTTTAAATACTGACGATATCCAGGACATGCTCAGAAAACCATGTTGTGACATGATTTATCACAATATCGATAAAAACCTTAGTTCACACTATCTCATTAATTCCCCACAGAGGCAGAAGCTTGTGGTACGTACTAGGCACTCCTGCGATTCCTCTCTGCAGTCCGGTACCACCAGCTCGGACTTTGTGTGCGCCCCCCTCACCAAGGGGTCCTACAGTAAACTGGAAGGGGCTGCCAGGAACATGCTGCCCCCTGTACTTCACGCTGACCGTGTGGGAGCCCATCTCAGCAGGCACGAAACGAACACTGTAGGTACTGTCTCCACTTTCCACGAGCTCAGCGTCCACAACCTTCCCCCCCGGGCTGGTCACCTGGGCCGTCATGCCCTGCACATCTGCAGACAAGAACACACAGCACAGAGAAGATTACTTCTGAGAAATGTTTTACAGTATATAATAAAGTAAAAGATATTTAGTGGTACATCGAGGGATACTAATTCAACTCCAGCAATAAAACTACTACATACTCCTTATATAGGGCAATACACTGTATGTTGTGTATAAGTTTATGTATCAAAGACAGTCATAACTCATTTTAACACAATCATTTTCAACCTTTTTATCCTTTAAACTGTTTCAGGTTGCCGTGAAACAAGGCAATGATCCATTTGCTTCCTGACAGCCAGGAACAGCACAATGTTTAATCGTTTCCCAACATCATCCACTCCAATAACTCTGCGACAGACACTTCAACAGAAATGGGTAGGGCTAAACTGCTGTAGGCTAAATGGGCAGTCACATGTAAATGTGTTTATGTTTGCGACATCACAGCCATGATTAAGTTAAAACTGACTTTTTGCAGCTTAGTTTTCATATATGGACTGTACAGACTGCACACAGGCAAACGTCAGCCATGTTTACACAGTATATGAAAGACAAAGCAGAGAAAATAATTTTTTTTAATACAGAACTTTTAATGGACACTAAAAGTGGAAACTGAGATGCCCTCTACTCCGACCCCACTCCACCCCTCATTCCCTCATGATCTCTGATAACACCAATGGAGTCTCGTCATATCTTCCAGAGCAGAGCTGCATTTGAGGCTTAACTAAGCTGCAATAAATAACGTCCCTGCTGCAGAGGGTCAGCCAACTTCAGCCCAGTGAAGCACAGGACCTGGGCTTGGGCCAGACTCCACCCTGCCTTATACATACACACCTTATCTGATTATATCCATCACTGCTTAAATATGTAGTTATTGAAAAGCAAAGGGGAACGTAGTGTGGAAAGTGTGGAACAGACTTTATGGGAATGGGCTTCATTCTATAAGCTTATGTAGCAGTGGGGTCATGTTTATTCAGGCGCTCCTGCGTCAAAGATGAGCGCTGATCTTCTCGGTGTAGTAACACTCTACCTTCTGCCACAAGGAGTGTTTTACGATGCCAACTGCACTACATTACTCACTACTGATCATGTTTAAGGCCCAGTGGAAAAGAGATGCCTATAATTCTACAGGACAGCGTTCAATGCTTTATGAAATCACAAATTTCAGTGCTATTCAGTTCAATTAGACTATTGTGGTAAGATTCAGAATTACTTTTAAAAATACACCGAATACACAAATGATTGGAGGAAAACAATAAAACGGTTTTATTTTTTTTTCTTACAAAAAAGGTCCAAAGGTTTTATTTTGTCCAAAAAATGAGTGCATACTTGATTGAATATTATAACAATCAATATCATGGATACTAACATTTCAAAAGCAACTAAATCTTCAACACCTTCAGGTCGATTTTCTGGCGCCCCCATCACTCACCCTCTTTGGCTGTGAGAGATCCAAAGCAGCCCAGACTCTCCCGGCCCAGAAACGAGCCGAAAACGTCTCTGAAGGGGTCTCCCCCTCCCACCTGCCTGCTCTCCTCCACATGAACCTCACGTTTGGTCTCTCCGCCGCGGGTCTTACTGATTTCCGTGCGCTCTGTGCGTGTGTATGTGTGGCTGCTGCGTGTGAAGCTGCGGGTCAGACGCTCCTGAGCCGAAACCATCTGGAACCAGTTCCCTGAGGAGAGAAGTTCAGACTGGAGTTAGACTCCCTGCTTATTACAGCTGGGTGATAATCTAATTTTTCACCAATATTGAAATTTATTGTGTCAAAAGTTATTTCTTTAATTGGTTGTCAGTAGTTTTACTTCAACTGCTCTGGCAATTGTTGGAAAAGAGTCCGAAGTGCAAATGTTCTAACTCGGATATGGTGCAGTCAACAATGCTAGACAGCCATCAATTACTGAGACGTTTACAGATGTACCACCTTATGCGCTCGGCTCACACGACTTATCTGCTTATTTGACACTTGTTTACTGTTTTAATATCAGTTTCATCCGTATAAATGCTGCAACAGTAATTAATGGGTTTCCGTTTTCCCTCATACTAATCATTATATTTATTATGATCGAGGTAGTTTGCTAAAATATCCCATTTTTTCTATGCTGTCCAGCTATACCTGCTCTGCTAACAGTGTTCATAACAGAGCCTGTGAGCAGTGCGGAGTGGGGAGCAGCATGATTTTACTCGGAGCAGCTTTTCAGGTGTTCTCTCTCGCTCTGAAATCACTCCAGTCCAACTGTTCAGCAGAACTACAGACTGGAAATTTTAATTAAAGTTCTATAGACGTCACACATCGTCCATTTTGCTGCGTGAATGATAAACAAGATGGAGTTAAAAGCTTGTGTGTTTGTTTACACTCGGCGGTTTTCTAGCTTGTTACTGGGTCATCGCTTTAAGCCTAAACCTTATGAAAAAAGCCTGTGTAGCTCAGAATGTTTAACCAGTTTTTCGTTTAATGACGACCATAAATTATATAATTCCTGAAATAAAGTGTGCAGCGTCTCCATACATTCAAGACATAAAGTAAATATAAGAATGGATCATATGAAGCAGACGCGGAGTGGGGTTTCTCTGACGTGTGAGGCTATAGCCGCTGGGCTGCTGTGATTTAGAACAGGACTCAGAGAGGTTGTTTATTCTCACCTGGAATTTTGAGGTTGAGGTCACAGATGCTGCCCACTGAAGCGATCGAGGGCGCCTGCCTCTTCCTCGTGATGCTCTCCTTCATCCTGCCCTCTCCTGTTACCTTCACTGTGAACGGGCTCCCTGAGAGAGAGAGATAAATATGAGAAATCGTCCTGCTTTTCGAAGACCGGCAGTCTGTAACAGAACAGAACACTATGATGCTCACCTGGGATGTGCTTTTCTGCAAATTTGATGTTGATGATGTAGTTGCCCGGCTCAGTGGGGCAGTAGGTCACTCGGCACGTTCCGTCCTCCACATCCTCACATTTTATATCCACTTTACTTGGACCCTCAATGGACAGCCCCAGTCCCCCGTAACCTGGGAGCACAGACAACACAGCTGCTTAGCACTCTAGTTCAGGTTAAGTTGATATGTGAATACAGACGTGGATTACAGGCTGTAAGTGTATTAAAAAGACAAAGGATGACATGGAAAAATAAATAAAGTACAGTGATGCAGCAAATATGAGAAATGTGTTGGAAAATAAATGTACAAATCAAAGTCCTGGCAGAGAAAGAGAGTCTCTTTTTCTCTGTCTTGTCCTGCAGGCTCACCTGCATTCCTCGTGTCAACGAAAAATTCAGCCACTTCGAAGGTGTGTGCCTCGACCAAGCCTTTTCCGAAGGCCCTGACCCTGCTGGCCTCTCCGATCTCAGAAGGACCCACCATGATTTTAAAGGGGCTGTTGTTGACGTGCTTTCCGCTCTTTCTCACGCTTACTTCATGCTCTCCAACTTCTTTGGGGGTGAAGGACAGGCCTGTGAAAAGAAACGAGAGAGTCAGATTGAGAATAGCAGTGATTCAGTCAAATGATTTTGCCGGTATACACATCATTTACACATTTATCCTCTGCACTGCCAAACACCAGCAATTATGAGCTTTACATGTACTTTATGAGCTTTGATTGTTACTATTTGTTGTCATTACTTATTATGGCCATTATCGTCGGCTGTATCATCACTGTTATTTTAATTATAATATATCTGTACCGTCAGTGCACTCTTGTACTCATTATGTGCACATATATTCCTATTATTTTAATATTTCTTTTTTTAACCCCTTAAACTGTATGTGGGCTCACACATCACTACACAGCGTTGATTATTCATTTACACAAATCATCAGACTATGGTTAGGGAGTTGCTAACCAAGTTTCATTGTACATGTACAAGGAAAAAAAAGATCATGCAGTGCAAGAAAGTGAGGTTGTGTGTGCTACTGACCGATGTGGCGGTTGGGCAGTGTTTTGAGCAGGCAGGGCTGTTCTGCGCCGGACGGTGCTCTGATGCTGGCGGTGAGTGAACTCAAGTCAGTCTCTGTGATTTTCAGTGAAACATCGGCTGCCGTCCCCACGTTCAGCTGAGACGTTCTCAGGGAATCATCACCTGCGCAGAACAATGAAAGCACACTCACAATTATAATCGTCTAATCGCAGTTACTTGAGACGATCACAATTATTTAAGATGACTGCAGTTATTTTTCACAGTTGTTATATTTCACAATAATATTAATCTGGAACAAACAGAATATGAATTGGGTGCGTTGGGTTGAGGCAAAAAAACATAGATAAAAGAAAACAGTAAAATGCATTCACTGAGACATCAGGGGGCTTTTGATGAAAACAAATGTTCCAACATCTTTGACTGGTTGGTATAGTGCAGTGGGTAACACCTCTGCCTTCTATACTGTAGACTGGGGTTCAATCCCCACCTGGGTAAGCACCCTACACTAAACCAATAAGAGTTGTAAGTCGCTCTGGATAAGAGCGTCTGCCGAATGCCGTAAAAAAAAAAACTTCTTGCTTGGTGCTCTAACATGTTTAGAAGGCAGCACTGAGTAATGTTCGTACCACACCATGTGCACAGTATTGATTCAACACTACAACCAGTGATACCTACTAGGTACACATAGCTAGCAAGTCAGCTAATCAGAAAATTTTGCCAGCTAAAATTTTATGATCGTGACAGGCCAACACCAGAGTCACAGGCACTCCTATAACTATGCCTGACAATAAGGAACTGCATGTAATAACTACTGATGATCATCCTGATTAAATAATATGAAAAATGCTTTGTGGTAAGATTTTTCGCCATAATCTCCCAGCACTACTCTTAACTCTCTGTTATTAACTAACTACTCTTAACTAACTGGCCTTATTAGGCTGAATGACAGTGTAACCCACATACCTGTGATCTTAGCTGTGAAGGGACTGCCAGGAATGTGCTTGTTATCAAACTTCACAATAATGTTGTAATCTCCAGGTGCAGTGGGCAGGTAGGACACGGTGCAGGTTCCATCTTTATTGTCTTTGCAGCTGATTTCAGCTTTCGACGGCCCTTCTACAGCCAGAGAAAGTCCACCTGCAGGAAACAGAACAGCCCTTAGTGCTTATTTACTTTTCAAACTGAGCACAGATTAACATTAGATTATTCATTGTATCTTTGATAGATAGATAGATACATAGATGGATAGATAGATAGATAGATAAGTAGATAGATCGATTTGACAATTATACACAAAATGTCTGCAGGACTGCATATATACAGTTCTTATATACACCTAAAAAGTTGAGAATAAAAGTGATAAAGATGTTAAGATGATGGTTTTAAAATGCATCAGTTGCATTAGCTACCTTCTGAAGCATTCTTGGTGACCACAGTGAAAGTGGCTGGTTTGTTGACCGTGCCATGACACAGGCCAGGTCCATATGCTGTAACCATTCCACTGTCCACAGCGTCCACATAGAACTGCAGTGGACTTCCTGTGGGAGGAGACATTCTGTCAGAGTCCTGCAGTAAGTCACTTACAATTTCTTTCCATTTACATTTTGGGCCAGTTTTTCAGAACCACCCTAAGTTTAAACTAAGACAAAAAGGCTTGTCAATGATGGATCACCATTATAATTATGATTTAGTCCAGCAGTATACGTTAACATTTCAAACGCTGGCCCATTATAATCAAATAAAATAAGAGATATATTACTGATACCTTGTTTAGAATGGTTAGTTAGGCTTAATTAAGTCAGTCTAATTTTACCAACAGGAAGGAAAAAAGCCAGTATAACTATTTCAAAAGCAGAGAACAGTCCAATAAGAACATGGTTTTAATAGAGCTCACCTAGCTAAATCTGATGTGTGCATATTCCATATAAGAACACTACACAGACCGAGGTGATTTTCCTACATTCTCTTGTAAATAACAGCATCACACAAACCACACAGAAGTCTGAAAGAACAGAAAGTGCTGACCTGGGATGTGGTTTCCATCATACTTTATGTCCATCTCATGCAGGCCTTTCTCTATGGGCGCGTATTTCACCGTCACCGTCCCGTCTTTGTTGTCTCTGATCAGAGGCCGTGCTGTTTTCCCTGAAGGCATACGAACCTCACCTGCACAAACACCAGCACAGTGTCATTAAGCATCAGATCTGGAGAAGCTGCTCCACTCATAGCACTGAGGTCACTACTGTAGCTCCTGCGCAGATGGACTTACCACTGAGAGCACCCTGCTGGACGGTGAAAGGAATAAGCAGGTTGATGGGGCGGAACATAGGCTGCTTGGTGTCTCTTGGCACGACGGGCTCCTTTGTAGCCTAAGAAAAAAACAAAATACGTGTGATTAACTACTGCTGGAACTACAGTGCCATCTTTAAAGATCTGCTCAGTTACACAATCTTTGTCGTTTTGACTCTATACTCCAAAATGAATCAGAATGAAGCAGCGCCTGTTAGGGTGTACAATTGAACAGATGCACTGAAATCCATCAGTTTCAAGGCGACAATTCACCCACATTAAGTTTCAAATTTCAATTAAAATGAATTCTTACAGAATCAATATCCTATGCTCTCATTTTTCAGGCCAAAACAAAGTTCTAAGGCTATTTTCAAACATAAGAAATCTTGTTTCCTCCCCATTCTGTACATGGGCACATTTGTGTACTCAGTACCAAATAACACAGAATCAAATTTGAGATTCCATGATTTATTGAACCATTTCCATAACTGAGGTCAGAGATTTACAAGCCTAGATGTCAGCAGTCAGTCTGTTGGGCTCAGTCTGATGCAGGTGTGTTTTAATGTGCTGTTTTTACCTGTACGTGGAAGGGGCTGTTGGGAACATGCTGGCCACCGAAGCGGATGGTGATGACATATTTTCCAGGCTCGGGGGCAGTGTAGTAAATATCAAAAGTGCCATCTAAATTCTCCACGACATCCACGTCCAGCTCAGCTCCATCAGGAGTGAGAACCTTACAGGTCACCTTCCCCTTCCCAGCAGCCTTAGCGTCCACGCTGACCACCGTCTCCTCACGCATCTGAATATTGGGCCCAAGGCTGCCTACTCAAACAAAAACAATACTCGTTCATAAACACAAACAACAATACCTGTTTATAAACAAATAGCATCACTGCTTTACCTTCTAATAAATACAAAAACAAAAATACTTCATTAACACAAACAACAAAATGCTTCCTAATAAATGCAAACAGCTGTCATTAAGATTCTGGTGCTGTCGTAAGTGGCTAAATGACCGATGTATAAAAAGCTCACTGTAATAGTGAAAAAAAAGAAGAATTTTTAACTCACCAACTCCATGTCCTCCAATAGACACTGCAAACAGAAATAACAGACTGGATCAGCACAGTAAATGGAAACTAATCTCCTCTGTTTATCTCTTAAATACATGATTAACCCTTAAATATGTGGGCATTTAGCCCTTAAACGAATAGCTGTTTCTCCAACCATGCATACATTTCTAACACAAACTGTCATAATGACAAATGAAAACAGTTATATTGACGGTAAAACAATAAAATAATCCGCATTTTGTTATGTTGTTTATCTGAAAAAACGGACCTGGTTTAGACCTGATGTGTTTATTAAGGGTTGAAGTTGCAGGCTGTTGTGTGCGTACCTGAGAGCAGGCATTTGCTGGCGTCTCCGCTGGGCCGGGCCTGGATGGAGTACGGAGAGGCGGGGATCTGATCTCCACCGTATTTTATAGTGATGGTGTAGCGGCCGGTCACATCAGGCACATAAGACACAGTGTATGTGCCATCTTTATTATCCTGAATGCTGGCTTTCTTTGGCTTTCCTTCAGGATCCTGCACAAGAAAAATGGACGACGTGTGAGCTTGGATCCCTCCTTGAACGGGCAGGCGAAGTATGAAGAGAATGAGACTGTGAGAGAGAAAATGAGGAGCTCACCAGGATCTGCACAGTGAGAAGGCCCTCACCAGCGTCCCGGGCGTCGATGGTGAACTCGACTGGCAGACTTGCAGCCACTCCGGCCTTGTCCAGCCCAGGACCGCTAGCACGGACTTTACTGGCATCATGGGCTGGACCAGAGTGGACCTTAAACGGACTGCAGAAAACAATTAAAGATGAGTTCGTTTATGACTATGAGAACTGAGTACTTAATAGTGCTTTCACTACACAGTCACAGACTTAAACCTAAAAACACTTTGCTGACGACACAGTGTGTAGTATTTGTTCAGAATGACTTTTATTCACCAGTATTTGGGGTGTATAAATGCACTGATTCATCCTGATGCATCTTTCTGAACGTGGCAATTCAGCTGTATTGATTTTGTAACTTCAGAACTATAAACTACTGTAATATTATAAAAGTATGGGCTCATTCTTAGCCAAAATCAAACTCTCAGGCTGTTTTCTAACATAAAAAGTTACCCCAAAAATAATTTTACTTCTGTATAAATAGTCTCCTGATGAAGAGCAATCAAAAGAACGAAAATTAATTCTACTGTGGATTGAGATTTACACCTACAGCCAATATGAATGATGTACATGACGTTACTCATTGGAGAAGGTGCACAAACAAGAAAATACAGGTAATGTAAATACAGGTGATAGAGGTAAAATGTGTGTGTATACACGTGTGAGCTGACCTGCGTGGGACGTCTTTGTCTGCATATTTGACGGCCACAGTGTACGGACCCTCCTCTGCAGGTGTGTAATTCACTGTGTGTGTTCCATCACCTTTATTGATGACAGCGACGGGTTCAGTAGCACCTGAGAGACGCAGGTTTGTTACTTTATATACAATAACTTACAAAACGTGGTTTAAATATTATAAACCATACAAATAAAGGTATTTTGACATGTTTTCACCACTCAACAGTAGTCTTTTAGTAATCTGTACCTGCCTGAGTAGGTATATTTGTTCGTCTCACCTGATGGTCCGTACAGCTGCACCTCCAGCGGAGCCACACCTGCCTTGGTGCAGTCTACAGTGAAGGTTTGTGGGACGTGAGCTCTGACTCCGCTCCCCAGCCCAGGACCCGAACACTTCACCTTACTTGCGTCCACCACATCTCTGACAGGGACACGGAACGGACTTCCTGCAGAACAATTCAATATTTAATATTCAGTAGCTCACTGAAACAACGCTGACTCTTAATCTTCATCATACCATGTTTGTGTTAATAAGTAAAACAAGATATTTTTTATACTTTATTCACTCAGATCAAGAAAAGCCTCCATGTACCTGGAATAGGCTGGCCTCCGTAGGTGATGTTCACATCGTAGTTTCCAGGAATAAAGGGAACATATTCCACACTGCAGCTTCCATCTTTATTGTCCTTACAGGACATTTTAGCCTCAGACGCCCCCTCGATGGTCAGGCCCAGCCCTCCTGTTCCAGCACCCCTGCAAAAGAGAATTAAAAGTGGAATGGAAGGAGGGGGAAAAGAATATTTTCCCCACAAGGGGGAGCTAATAGCACTTTGGTAGGTTTTGTGTGTGTCATTAAAAGGAAGGAAACTGGCACCGCACAGGTGGTGAAAGAATGACTGATGTGACATACCACCCCTGTTTTCTATGTAAGGTTTATTTTACACGTGGTATTTCAGATCAGTCATGCTTTCCTGACTAATTAAAGTAATAATGAATCAATTAACTAATTACAGAAACAGTCATTAGTCAGTACCGTGTCTCTACAGTGAAACAGTTGGATTTGTTGACGATGCCGCCCTCCAGTCCAGGACCGTAGGCGCGAACACGAGAGGGGTCGCATCCCTCCACCACTGAGACCCGGAAGGGGCTCTTAGGAACAGCAACATCATCGTAAAATACCTCGATCAGGTGAACACCTGCACAAAAACACACACGACAGAGTGAAATAACTAGCATACCTCTCTCTGAACCACTGTAATTCCATAGCACTTCAATAACAATATGATAAACAAACAATATGGACGATCAGATGATGAACTGTAGGTGTAAATTTTCAACCTCCCTATCAATTCTTTAGGAAATGATTAAATGAATCATAAAATCTTTAAAAAATAAGCTTAAATTATTTTGGTATGATTCATGATTATTTTAAAAAATGGACTAAACACACGTTACTGGAGAAGCCATTTATGGAAGACAGGCAATCAAAACAAAACACTTTTTTGTTGACTTTTAAACCTGAAAATAGAGAATTTTATTTTGCCCAAAAATGAGCAAATGTTTTTGTATACCATTATAATAGATACCCACATTCCAAAATTCATACTCTTTAACCACCATACAATCATTTTTTTTAACCCCTAAAATAAACTCTTTTCAGTAAGCCTGAGTGGTGTTGGTTGTCTAGTCCCAGGCTATATTAAACTGGGAGTTTATGGTAAAAGCTCTATTTATAACAGTGATCTGCAGCAGTTGGGCTTTAGTGCAATCCCCCCGGGGCCAGCGCTCCAGCGTCACAGACATACCTGTGTATTTAACTGCACTGTGTCCCCCAAAGAGCTTCTATTTATAAAGCCTGCATCTGTCTCTTTACCTCCCTCCATCAGTATCTCACTCCCTGGAGCCTGGATCTCCAGCCTAATATCTCAGCTTGTATTTATATCACTGTCTCTTCTGCAAACGCCCAACAAGCTGCACCTGTTCATTTACATCTCAACTCTCTCGCCTGATCCAGCACCAAACCATAAAAACCATAAAGGCTGTCTGAAGAGATCTAGAATCTCTGTGGTGACTGATTGTAACACTTTGATGGATTTTAGCAAATCTGGTCTGTTTTTTTAGTAAAATATTAACTCAGGTCCACTGTACCAAATTTCTTGGTATTCTCACTGATGACAAACTGCACTGGAAAGAACATTTTTCATTAACCTAGAATAAAATTGCAAAAATACTGCCGTCATCAGAAGAATCAAATGAATACTGCCCCAAAAATACTTCTTGTAATACACACTGATTTATACTTACCCCTCTCAGTGTAATATTATTTGAACCTGTACTTTCAAAAGTAACATCAGGTATTTATATGTTCTTCAGACGTGCTTCGTTAGAGCGCTCACTTCAGCTAATTATTATTTCCAAAATCTTAAAATCTTCAATGTGTATGAAATTTACCACTTTCCCGTTTATTCTCTCTTTTACAAACAAACATCTTCCTGACTGCTTTGAAAAGGGTTTTCAATACAACTTTCAGCTTCATAACTACTCCAGAAGATCTTCTAACAAACTCCACTCAGCTTTCTGTAGGACGTCACTCGGTCAGTTCACACTGTCTCATTGAGGACCTTCAATCTGGAACCTCTACAACCTCATCTAGAACACTGTACAATCTCATCAGCCTCAAAAACAGGTTAGAACTCACTACTCACTCTAACAAACCTAAATGTAAAGAACTCAACTATGTATTTGTGTTTTTGGTGATTGTTTTTGTCTGTCTCTTTTCTGTTTAATTCAATTTAACAATTTTTCTTTGAGAGGAAGTGTTTTTGCTCTTTTTCTTGTTCTTTTTTTTCTTTCTCTGTATATTCTTTTTGTTGTTTTTTTGTTTGTATTCTGCTTTTTTACTGTAAAGTCTTGCACAAATAATAAAATAAAATACAACATGTTTAAAATATTCAAACAAAAGGAATTAAAAAACATTGCTGGCATCAGAAAACCTCATTACTCCCACAAGAGCCTTCATATTATTTCAAAGTTCAGAGAATTTTAATCCATAAATGTTCCAGTGTCTTACCATCTTCAAACGCAGTGTACTCCACTCTGTATGTGCCATCACCCTTATCTGTGATGTGTGTGTCCGTATTGGAGCCAGATGGATTGATAATCCTCACTTTGATGTGATTTCCTCCAGTTTTGTTCATGGCTCGAGCGTCCACAATGAAGTGTGTGGTCACATCCCTCAGAACACCTGGAGTCACATCAAACCATGAAAACACCATTAGGTATCACAAATACACGGTGTGCACTAAGAAGTATTCATTATTCATTATATTCATAATGTCTAACATAACCTTACAGCATAACCAACAACCCTAAATGTACACTCCCGTGCAAAACAATGGGCCCAAACTATAATGGTTGTTACTGGTTTTGAGCTGGTCAGAGTCCAGATTTAAACCCTAGTGAGAATATTTGGTCTCAGATTCAACACAAACCAGCTCAGCAATGTTTTTAAGCAGTTTGAAGCTGTCAGTGCAGAGTGGATCAATACTGACTCTTCTTTCTGTAAAAGATGGTCTGCAAATTTACCCAGAAGACTCCAACCTTTAAAGAAATCAAAGGGAAAAGCTCCCATACACTGATTTGCTGCAGCTGTTTGTTTAAATATTTGTTGTTAAGACCATTAAAAGCTTAACGTTATGCCATTTTGGGTTAGGCACATTTTTTGCACTAGAGTGTAGATCAGATCAGATTTGCTCCTTTAGCTGTAACAAGCACTGGAAGCTTATACTCCACCAATTAGCAAAACTGCATGTCTAAATCATTACACAATTGCCTCAAACCATGCCAAGTGGGACAAAAGTAGAAAAAAGCACAGACAAAATTCAGGCTTCAACATGTCGTTATTACAGGTCCTTCCTTCCTGCTGCTGTTACATGTACAATATCCTTACAGTGTGAAGTTTTTTTTGCTTTTCTATTTATAATGTTTATATTGTTAATTTTGTGAAGGATAAAGTTTATATTTTTATCTTTACTATTATCTATATTATCTATAAGTAACAAACTGTAACTGTGTTAAGTATTTAATAAGGTCAATTACCTTGTTTGTTACTTCTCTTCTTGTTAGTTCTTTTCTTGAGTGCCTTGCTATCGCTTTGCCGCTGTAGCACTGTGAATTTCCCCCATTGTGGGACTAATGAAGGATTATCTTATCTTGTCTGCTGTTACTGGTTTTAGCCATACTGCTGTACTGTGTGTTAACATTAGAAGAGGTAAAATCTTCCATTTTTGATAGCTGTTTAACTTCAGCACAGTACAGAACTAATAAAGCAAACCAAGCTTGTCTCGACTAACTGGCCACAAGGTGAAAAACATTTTTACATACAGTTAATGTGAAACTCACCTTTAGGTTCTACTCCAGGCCCGTAGACTTTAACCCCACTGGTGTCCACCGCGGGCTCCACCTGTATGCGGATGGGGCATTTTGGCACCATCTGGCCGCCGTAGCGGATGCTGATGGTGTATGGGCCGTGAGACTGGGGCGTGTAGGTGACTGAGAAGGTTCCGTCGTTGTTGTTGAAGATGCAAACCTCCGCTTTCACCCCAGAGTCCGACACAATCTCCACCGTCAGCTCGGCCTCTCCAGCCCTGCTGCAGTCAACGGTGAAAGTGGCCAGTTCACCTGCTTTTGCCCTCTCCAGCCCAGGGCCGCTAACGGTGACCCGGCCTGCGTCCAGCGCCGGCTTCACTGCCGCTTTGAAAGGTGACCCAGGGATGTGTTTTTCTCCATACAGGATGTTAATGTTGTAGTCTCCAGCTTCGGTGGGCAGGTACGAAACAGAGCATGTTCCGTCGCCGTTATCCTGGCATTCAATCTTAGCTTCGCATGGACCCTCCACTGTCAGGCCCAGCCCACCTGCACCTGCTCCTTTAGTGTCAATGGTGAATGGAGCCGGCTTACCCACAATGCCTCCCTTCAGTCCTGGTCCATATGCACGCACCTGATGAAGAAACAGGAAGATTACCCTTAGGAGCTGCAGGTGATATCAAAAGCATGTTGAAATTTTATATGAACTATTTCTGACTCTGAGCTTATTAAAACAAGCAGAGAAATTCTGTGAAAGCTCAGATTCTAAACGTTCAGCCCGTATCACATTTGCATCTGTAAGTAAAGGAGGAGATGTTTTATTAAGATTTAAATCTGAAGAAAAGTTACTGTTGGGTATACAATCTTTATTTTTTTGGAAAGAAAAACCTTGACTTTTTTAAAAAGTTAGTCAAATATAAAAGTAATTCTAAACAAAAAAATATATATAATGCAATTACGTAATTACAAAACAACAGTAATAAGTCTAGACTTCCAAATGTTAACCCTTTAGGGTCCACAAACTCACCTGCACATCAAATTTGATGTTTCTACATCTGTTTCTGTATCTTTGTGATAATCAAGCACAGAAATACAGTTCAAACAGAGTCACCCTTTCCATTCCATCTTATCACAGGATCGTATGCCCTCAGACCCCAGAGGGTTAATGTCTAGAAATTATCTTGATTGCTGATTGCAGCTAAAACTTTACGCTGAAGTCCCAGATCCCAAAGCCATGACTTCCTACCTTTGAGGGGTCAGCGGGCATGACGCCCTCCACAGTGAAGGGGCTTCCAGGCACAGGGTTTCCATCATAGCTGACGTCCACCTTATACTGACCCTCTTCAGGTGGGATATATTTCACATTGGTGAGCCCTTTAGCTCTGTCCGGCTCCAACTTGCAGGGAATCGGTCTGCCGGAGGGTGAAACCATCTTCACTCCAACATTACCCTGACCTCCAGCTCCCTGTGTGTTTACCATGAACTCCTGGTCCTTTCCAACCTCCACTTCTGAGAGCACACAGCAGCAGAGAGAAACAGCATTAGCACAGCAGTAATATAAGGACTAAAAATGATAGATAGGCCAAAAATTAAATTAACTATCTACGTCACATAGCTAAAAACAGATGTAGCAACCATCTTTAAACCTGAAGCTGTACTTTGTCCAGTTTTATAGATAACAAAATGTCAAGGTTAAGAGAATTCCACCATTTTTTCAAACCTTCTGCATAGTTCAGTCGTTGAGATGTTAACTAAGTCATTCGGAGTGGTTTGGTTTGAAATGCTTCATTGCTTACTGACTTGGATTTCTTTACAGTGGTGGTGATAGGAACCAGGAGTTGCATTGTCTACAGTGCAAATATAATGATTTTATTTACTGTCCAAAAACACCAGTCAGTCTACATGAATCTTCTGGGTATTTGACTATAACAGTGACGATGGAAAAACAGAGGTAAATCTGGAAAAACGTGTTTTATTGGGGCTTATTTTTGCTCACAACACCGTGAATGTATCTCTCCGTCATGAGTGTATTAAAAACTGTTTTAAGCCAAAGCACTGTCACAAAACTATCATAAACCAATGTCTCAGGCATCAGCAGTGTATACATAACCGTTTTATGTAATAACTTTCTGTGTGGGAGCTTTTACAGGCAGGAAACTCTGCAGACATCTGGTTCCTATCAGAACTGCTGTCAACGTTTCTGACTCATCAAGTTTCTCCACCACAGAGCATTTTAGCACCAAATCACTCTGGATGGCTTTGTTTACATCTTAACGACAGACCTACACAGACATTTTGAAAAATCGGTGGCATTCCCCTTTAAATTTTGTTTTTAGTGGAACTATCACTTTAAAACTCTCATTTAAAACTTATAAACGTAAAGTTCTTACTTTCACTGAGGCCTTGCACCTTGACTTTGCTCAGATCCAGAGGAGGAGCAACAGTGACGTTGAAAGGGCTTTTAGGGATGGGGTCTCCTCCATGGGTGACTGAGATACTCATATTACCCTGCGTTTACAGACGGAGCAGGAATTATTAGTGAAGAACTGCCATAGTTTATTTTTCATAAAGAAGAGCAAAGGAACATCAGGCTATTAGGCAGTGTTCTCCCACCTGATGCAGAGCAGTGTATTTGACAGTGTAGGAGTAATCATGATTATCAATAATCTCAAAGTCCTTCACTGGGTTTCCTTTCTGTCCGGTGCTGAAGTGGACCTCCGGCTTTGCCTTGCCTGCCCCCTTGGTGTAAATAGTGAAATGGGTTGGAGTGTCCACCTGTACTCCTGTAAAGTAGTTCTTTTGTTAATGCCGACTCATCTGAGTTTGTTCAGCAGTGTGTATGTTTGTTAAGCTGCACTAACCTGTTTTGTTTATTCCTGGACCCTCTGCTCGCACTTTTCCAGCATCATGAGAAGGTTCCACCTTCACTTTGAATGGGCTGCTAGGAATCTCCTGCATTAGAAAGACAGAAATAGAGTGTTTTTAATGAATCACAGCAAAATGATAAAATAAAATGATGGTGAAATTCGTGATGCACTGATTTGTTTCCTAAAAATCTGAATCAGAAGCAAATCATGAGGTCACAGATTTTCTTATCTCCATCATGTTCAACACTGGGGTACATTTCAGCTGACTTGGTTGCTGAAGTTGCCAAATTTCTGGTTTACCTTATCAGCGAACAGCACCATGACCGTGTAGCGTCCCGGAGCAGGGGGCGTGTATTTCACTGTGAAAGTGTCGTTGTCGTTTTTAATGATGTCAAAGTCAATGTCTGCCTCAGCTGGTCCCACAACTCCTGCTGCACACTTAATCCCAATGCTGATGTCACCTGCAAGATCATCACAAAGCAACAGTTGCAAGACTGCGATGCACATGGCTCAATAAAAGAAAATGAAGACCAAAACACAACAACATTTTAAAAAATTCAAGTAAATCAACCTTGGCCAGCTTCACTGCAGTCCACGGTGAAGTATGTAGGCTCACTGGATTTCAGACCTGTTTTCTCCACTCCTGGACCGTACACCTTCACTTTATCTGGGTGGCAGCCTTCACCAACAAGAACCTGCACACACATAAACCCTTCAGTGCTGGAGTATTCTGTGGTGTGTTTAATGGTGAGTTGTATGGTGTTGGGAGTGTTGTGGTATGCTGGGGTGTTTTCTAGTGTGTGTGCTGAGGTGTGGTACAGTAAGTTAGGGTGTGTTATAGTGTCTTGGGATGTTTATGATATACTGTGTATAGTGTGTTGGGGTATTTTATAGTGTGTTGTGGAGATGTGTGTTACTATGTGTTGGTGTGTGTGTTAATGTGTGTTGTGGTATTTTATAGTGTGTTATGGTCTGTTAAGATATGTGTTATTATGTGTTGGTGTGTGTGTGTTATGGTGTTTTGGGGCATTTTACAGGGTGATATGGTGGTGTTGGGGTATTTTATGGTGTGTTGGGGTATTTTAGTGTGTTATGGTCTGCTGAGATGTGTGTTCCTATGTGTTGGTGTGCGTGTTGTAATACTCACCCTGAAGGGGCTGTTAGGAACATTGACTCCGCCCCAGCTGATGATGATGGTGTGCTTTATTGGCTTTTTTGGGACGTAGACACACACATAGGTACCATCACCTTTATCGGTAATCTTAATGTCAATTACACAGCCTTCAGCGTCCTGTAAAACAAACAAGCCAGAAATGAGAGACCGCTCCCATGGGCATCTGAATAATGTATCTGTAGTGGACAAAGCCTCAGTCCAACCTGAGCATAAATCTTCAGCTCTCCCTTCCCTGCCTGCCGTGCATCAATGGTGAACTCCGCTGGCTTATTCACAATCACTCCAGTGGGCTGTAGACCAGGACCAAAGGCTCGAACCTACAAAGGAGACAAACACTGCTCACACACAGTCTCTCTACAGACAGATGATTAGTAAATATACTGAAACTCCTGTCCAGTGTTCTGGTACCCTAAAATCCCAGTCCCTAAAGGTCCCAGACTTCCTTCACATTTGTCCTTGAGGAAAGGCGTCTACAAATAACTTCAGGCAGTGCAATTTTCCCATATAAAATATATATAAAATTATATGTAGTATGCATAAAGTGTACAATGAATACAGCGCCTTGTCATGTTTCACCTGTTTTAAACTTGCAGAGCCTCACACTTCCTTCAGCAACTGAGCACTCGTAGTGACGCAGATTCAGAGCTTAGGTGGGTAGAGGGGAAGCCAAGTAAAAGAAACTACTCATGTCACTCACCTTCTCAGGGAAGACATCGTTAGCTGCTGGCAGGATGTGGGCGATGAAGGGGCTGTCCTTAATGTCCTCGTCATCACAGATCACATGGACGGCGTAGTCTCCAGGCTCTGTGGGCCAGTAGCGAACGTCACAAGACCCGTCGCCTTTATCCTCACACTCAATTTTAGCCTGCGATGGGCCCTCGATGGAAAAGCCTGCATGGAAGAGTTATTACTGAGAGACAGCTTGGAGGAAAGAATCCAATACCATGCACATCATACACACAGGGACATATTAAGGCATCTTACTCTTTCTTGGGGCTCCTACCACATCCATTTAAAACTGCATTTAAAACTGACACACATCAGAATCATAGTATAGAATTACTTTCTGTTCCGATTGCTTTGCAAACTTTAGCGTTCTGCTGTTTTTATTTTTTCCTTTTTGAAATCAGACAGAAGTAAGATTTCAAATTTCCTTGCAAACTTTCGGCAGCTCTGATCTAAAATGACATTTCCATAAAAGTAAGTATATTTTCCTGTCACTTTAACTGTTGTTATTTGATGTACAATCACGTTTACCTTGTAAAGCCCCTAAAACCCTTTGAGTTAACATGGCCTTGCACACACACACACACACACACACACACACACACACACACACACACACAAGTGTGCGGGTTAGAGTTACTTACCCAGAGTTCCAACCTCAGTACCGATGGCCTCAACCACAAAGTCTGCTGATTTGCCCACCATACCAGTCTTCAAACCTGGCCCCCAGGCTCGCACCTTCTGTAGCCCCGCTTCCACACCCACCTCCACCTCAAAGGGGCTGAAAATCACACACATACTTTTTAACCATGTGAAACACACACACATTAGCGCAGACACAGTTCCAGTGCTGGCTGAGGAGAGTAAATTAGAATACACCCTTAAAAAAGATGGTTCTTCAAGGTTTCTTAAGTAAAGACAAAGAACCCTTTGCATGTTTAAATAGTGCATTGCATGGTGAAATGGCTCTTCAGATTGATGGAGAATGTGCTGTAGATGGTTCTGTATAGAGCCTTTTTGAAAATGATGAATCCTAAATACAACCACATACAACACATTCTCCACCAATCGGAAGAAGCACTTCACCATGCAAAGAACTATTTAAACATACAAAGGGTTCTCTGAATGTTCATGGTTCTATCTTTTTTAAGACTGTAAGGAGAGCGCATTATGGCACATATGTCTCACCTGCGTGGAATGGGCTGTCCTCCCCATGTTATGGTTACAGTGTATTTTCCAGGAACGGTGGGGCGGTAGTCACACTCGTACACTCCATCACCAACATCACGCACCTTCACTGGCACTTCAGCTCCACCTAACATACAAACACGCAAACAGAACAGAAATCTCAGTCAGAGCAGCACAGACTTCCCATATTCACATACGGACCCAGACAGTGAAGAAGTGCGTGTGAACCACATGCACTTACTGGGGCCTTTCACCGAAACCTTCAGCTCTCCAGTTCCTGCGCCTTTAGTGAACACCCGGAAGTCGGCCACCTCCTTCACCCGGACGCCCTTGGGCTGCAGTCCTCTCCCAGTGGCCCGACAGGCGTTTGCGTTGCTGGCTGAGTGGAGACAACAAACACACATTTCAGTCCTCTGAAGGCACAGACAGAGAGCATCGTGTGTTAGTAAGCTGGGCTCCAGAGACTCAACGGAACAAATTGAGGAACTGAGATTCAACTTGCTGGACATGGACCGACCACATATGATGGACACTGACAATAACAGCATTTTTTTAAAGCAGCATAACCCAAGCTGACAGCTTCACTCCTGGGCCATGTGGAAAACGTGCTGGCGTAAAACCCCGTCACAAAGGTACAGATAACTCGATAAAACTGATAAAACCCATAAAACCATGCACAAACGTACAAAGATCAAAATCACCAACTCAAAATCCTCACTGAACGCTGAAAATCAGAACAACTAAAACAAAACCATTCAACTACCTTCTATGAAACATTTCAAATGTGGAATGTTTCTCTCTTTCTATACATTTGGATACGCAACACAAACATGCTCTCTCTCTCCCTCACTCTCTCTCTCTCTCTCTCTCTCTCTCTCTCTCTCTCTCTCTCTCGCTCTCTCTCTCTCTCGCTCTCTCTCGCTCTCTCTCTCTCTCTCTCTCTCTCTCTCTCGCTCTCTCTCTCTCTCGCTCTCTCTCTCCCTCACTCTCTCTCTCTCTCTCTCTCTCTCTCTCTCTCTCTCGCTCTCTCTCTCTCTCGCTCTCGCTCTCTCTCTCTCTCTCAGATGCACCAGGCAGAATTAAAGTGATTATTTGGCCCAAAACATTTTTTTTTCTTTTTATCCCAAATGTAGGCCATTATAGTTTTTGAAGTTTGCTTCTTTAGTTTAGCACTGAAGGCTAAGGTAACCAACTAATAATAATATCAATAATAATAATAATAATAATAATACAAATAATAATAATATGTTTATTTATAGAAAACTTTTCATATCGATGGCAGCTTAAAAATGCTTTACAGACAGGTGACAAAACTAAACGGTAACTATGAGTAGAAGAAAGTAGAAGAAACTATGAGTACTAATTTAAAATCAATAACACAGATCAGATTAAACAGATAAAGACCAAAAAGCCATAGAGTTTTATGAAGCGCTGAGTTAAAGAGCTGCATTTTCCGATGTTTATTAAAAGTGAGCTCTGAGCTCGACTGTCTAATAAAAGGTGAACTGAGCTCCACAGTTTAGAAGCAGAATAACTGAAAGAGTCTCTCCATGTTTTCTGTGTTTTACGGAAGGTGTTTGCAGGGTCAGTATCTGCAGACCTAAGATCAAGCGCTGGAACATAAACAGAGAGACATTCTGTGATGTAGATGGGTGCTTTAAGGTTATGTAGATGGAATAATAATGAAAGCTTATACTGGTGGTATGTCATATCGGTACAGTATCCTTGTGGCTCCAGTGCTAAAACTAAAGAAGAACTTCAGACACTGAACACACTGATCAAAAATTGTATAAATTTGTTTTTCCGACCAAACAATCACTTTAAGCAGGCCAGCGACCCAAGCACAGCGCAGGTCTCAGATCAGAGACCTCGGGCATGGCGAGAGCTACGCCAAAGCAGAGAAAGCCGAATCGGACGAGGCAAGACGAGCGGAGGTGGACGGGGCTTTGAGTCGGCAGGGCTGTGCCTGACCCACGCTCACTTGGGCGAGCCACGGGGCGCACCTTTAGGTTTGGGGAGCTGTTTCCCTGCAGGAGGAGTGCGCACTGACTGAGGGAGAATCTGCAGTGCTGGCGTAGCACTTACAGGAGCTACAACAACAAACAGCACTCTCATTATTACTGTATGGAGAAGATCACTCGGAAGAGGAGAGTGAACCGCAGACAGATGGTCAGCAGTGATGGGGAAGGACATACTCACCTTCAGAGACATGCACTTTAAAGGGACTTTTGGGAATAGGCTGTCCAGCGAAGGACACGTGGATAGTGTGAGGTCCCTCCATCACAGGTTTGTAGGTACAGCGGAACACGCTGTCACCTTTGTTTTCTAGCAGGACCTCCACAGTGTCCTTCTTCCCCTGAGGATCCACAATGACCACGCTGACGTCACCGGCCCCGGCACCTGCGGGAACAGAGAGAACATGCTGTAAGACAAAACTACACACCACAGACCAGCACTAGCTTCAGAGAAATGCAAACTGAGCAATGACGATAGATTGTATAATTCATTAATCCATTGATTCCTCTTTGATGAACTGACTAATTGAACCATTAAGCCTTCTTCAGATTCCTTTCACTCTGCCTGTGAGAATGACCACATGTATCATGTAAACAGCACAGAGAAAAAGTGAAAGTAAAAAACGCATCGAGGCATCAACTTCCTTCACTCCCTTCACCTGCAGTCCACAATCTCAGCAATCATATTCTTACTCACCTGCAGTATAGATGTCAAAGAAGGTGGGTTTATGAGCCACATTGCCTGTGGGCTCCAGTCCAGGTCCTCTGGCCTGCACTTTGTTGGGGTCCCCAAGAGCCTTAGCCACATTGACCAAGTAGGGGCTCTTATCAATGTCCTGACCAGCAAACAGCACCTTCACCTGGGACAGAGAGAACAACGCCAGAGTCCGTGGAATTAGATCACCAATGAGTTGCGATGCATCAATTTGACGATGCAACTGCACTGATTTTGCAATGTTAAAACAATTAACAAGCTCACTTTTAGCCAAAATAAAATTCTTAGGTGATTTTAAATGTTAAAAATCCCCTGAAAGCCTGGTAATTTGTTTTCACTGTCTTTATTCCAAGATTGTGTAAATAGATTAAACTCTAGCTGAATCATGGTGGACTTCTTGGTGCATAAAGACACATATCATTGTGAGATCAAAGATTTACACTCCTAAGTGGAATAAATAACAAAGCCCCTGAGTAAAAGAGAACTCTAAAGCAGGGTGGAAGGCTGCTGAGTACCTTGTGAGGGCCGGCCACCTTGGGTACGTAACTGACTGAGTAAGTCCTCTTCTTATCATTGTTGGGAACAACTTTGGCCTAAAAAGGTGAGAGAGAGTCCACTGTTAAACAAAATCATTGCAAATGTGTGTGTTTCTGATTGTTTCTGATTGAACAGAACTTGGTACATCCACATGGAATCCTCAAAGCCCTGTAAACATGGACTTACTAGGAAAAATGTACAAGTTTCTTTAAAGAAATGTTATTCCCCCAACAACTGGGTCTAAACAGATTTGTTTAATAGCCATTTGACTAAGGGCAAACGTAGGTGGTCTTAAGAGTTAGAAATAATCACAAAAGATCCAGCAAAATACTGATCGTGTGTCTTCTAGCTGTTACATTCAGATTCAGATTCATTAATTTTCATTCCAGAACATGCTGTACACGAAAGGGAACAAAATGAGGCACTCGTTTCGGGTAGTAGACACAACAGAATCAAGAAGAAAACACACAATAAACACTGCTGAAAACTGAAAAAGCTAAATAGATGTAAGTGTAAAGTGAGCAATGTGTGGATAAGAATAAGACTAAGAAAATCTAAAAGGTAAACAAGGTTGCAGTGGGCCCAAATTACAGCAGTACCACAAAAACAATAGTAAACCATAGCAATAACAGCAAACTGTACTGTAGGACAACAAACTGTACACTAAAAACTGTAGAATTTTCATATAATTTCACATATAAACTGAATCTGTTTTTAAGAGAGGAGTTTACGTGGCTAGTGGGGTGGTCAGTACCAAGCATCGTGGCTGTAAGGTCACTATGGAGTCCCTCGTCACTCACCTCTTCTGTATGACCCTCCGGATCCTCCACATACACTATAACTTCGCCCAATCCGGCCTCCAGCGTCTCCACCGTAAACACAGCAGGTTTCATCACCATGTTACCCTGAGGCTCAATACCTGAATTGATAAACAGAAATGTTTGACCATTAAAAATTAGGGTTGACACTATCAATGGTCAAACAATAAAAGTGAACAATAATAAACCATCCAGAGGCTTCGTTAGACTCCAAATACATTACTGGAAAAAGGTAAACAAAGGACTTCATTACAATGAGACTATGTGTCATAAAACATACATATAAACGTGTGTCTGTCAGGCTCTTTCTTACTGTACGAATGTAAAATATGCACCATTATCATGCAAACTGACAACCATTTACTGCAACTTTCTTTTAATCAAGTGATCGAGTTTAGTCATCAGCTCCTGTCCAGAAGCTGTCGTATCTTCAGGTCAGTGAAAATGACCAACCTGGTCCGTAAGCTTTCGCCTTTTTGGGGTACAGCTGCCTGGGCTTTAATGGAGCACCAGGCTTCAGCTTGGCTTTGGGGAACTGTGAGAGATACGTCATCACAGAGTGCTCATCCACATCCGGGTCCACAATCTCCTCAGGGGCGATCACCTAGAGGTCAAAGGGCAAACAGCAGATAAAAGATCAGGCATGCGGTATCACCTTGTCTGTCAAAAGTTTGGGGGCACCTTGCTTTCTTTTCAAATCTGAATTTGAGTGCTGACATCACACCAAGATAACATGGGCGTGGCCTAGGCCTTTATTCCCAGGATCCCCAGGATCACAAATCTTTACACATGATGTTTTCCTTTAAATAAACCTGAGAAGGCTTTAGCACGTTATCACTAACTAAAGGTGAGCGATATGGCAAAAATCTAATATTGTGATACTTGACAAATTTTTTATAATATTTATTTTTTCAGACGTTTGATCAGTTAGAACAGAGAATAAAGAACCAGCAGGGCTACATTAAAAAAATACTATCAAAAACTGTGAATACAATGATTTTTATTCAGTATTCAATATATAACCCTGCCCTCTCTCTTTCTCCTCTACAGAATCCCACCCTGGCTTCTCTCTCTCTCTCTCGCTCACTCTCTCTCTCTTCTACAGAATCCCACTCTGCTCTCTCTCTCTTCTACAGAATCCCACCCTGGTCTCTCTCTCTCAGTCTCTCTGTCTTCTACAGAATCCCACTCTGCTCTCTCTCTCTTCTACAGAATCCCACCCTGGTCTCTCTCTCGCTCTCTCTCTCTTCTACAGAATCCCACCTTGTTCTCTTTCTCCTCTACAGAATCCCTGCTGCCCAAGAATTTGTGACACAAAGCCATCATCACGCTGGGAATGTAACAACTGTTCCATGACAGCACTGTGTCAAACAGCAACCTTTCAGCAGTGTGTGTGTGTGTGTGTGTGTGTCTGTGTCTGTGTGTGTGTGTGTGTGTGTGTGTGTGTGTGTGTGTACCTGTGGTACTCCCAGCCAGTCGTCAGCCTGCTGCATGGCCTCTCTGGCGTTCTGCACGGGCTTATTCGGGTCCCATGTCTCCCAGTCTGGACACAAACCTGCAGACACAGAGAGACAGTTACAGAGAGACACAGTAAACTTTTTTATCAGTATAATTTGAACAGAAATTTTTAATTCAGAATTCAACTGTAATTTATCTGCGCTTCTGTGCACACTTTGCATTTTGGGGTAGTTTAACCATCATCTCACAGCTAGCAGCTGAAGTGGAGGAGTTGCCAGGGAAACAGGATAAAAAGAAACCTGCTTTGGCATTGTTAGCTATTTTTCTGCACGATGCAAATATGTTGGCAAATATTTAATAATGTGATATACAGTAGTATATCCAGTAGTAAATATCCAGAGTATTTTTCAAGCCTTCATTTTTTATAGCAAAGCATTGATGTTCATTTTGTGATAAATACATTAATCACTGTCAGCATGTGCTACAGTATCTTAGAAACGTTAATATTTTGCTGATAAACCTCAATGGAATCAATGGAATTCAACTGAATGACAGTCGATTAGCTTAGCGAGTTATCAATTAGCTAACAGAAGATACACAGCCGTGATGTATATATTGAATATTATATACATCTGAATAAATATCTAATGCTTCATTATTAATTGATCTTCCATTCTCTAAAAGAATTAACCATTTTCACCCACATGCTAAAAGAAATAAGAGCTCTAAACTTATGCTGCTTGTTCTGAGGTTTGGCTTGTGGCTTTAAGTGCCTCCACGTTGCGTCACCAGCGGACTAAGCTGAATAAGAGCTGAAGGATGTGATGAAAGAGAGAGCTCTCTCGCAGCAGGGAGACAAATGAGCCGCCTGTTCTCGAAATGTTCCTAATTAAACGTTCACAAATCCCTTTTAGGGCCCTGAGTGGTCTGAGCTGCTCGGGCTGTCTGAGAGTGGACGGGTTTGAGTAAGAGTGGCTGAAAGTAAGATGTGAACAATCTGCTATGAGGGTGAAGAGGCGCTGAGGGAAGCAAGCACAGCCCTGTATGGTCACAGCAGTGGTGGTTCTACTGGAGCTGCTTAATATCAGACACACTGCAGTAAACACATACGCCGCCCCCACCAACCGCACGCGCTCACCGGCAGAACAGAGGGAACAACAGGGTCGGAGTGAAGCACGAGAAGCAGCCAGCATCCACATTCCACACGCAGAATTAAACCTTCTTGTTTGTTTAAAGTGATGTTTTGGCCTCCAATCCCCAATATTACGCCAGATGTAGACTACCAACAAGGACATGTTTGGTGTCTGAAGTTTGCTTCTTTAGTTTTAGGACTAGACCTACGAGGCTAACGGCTCACCCTTTTTACCTCCTTAGGACCACCGGTTCCAAAACACACATCATCATATTCTTCATAACTTGCATATTTCATAAGCTATATTCAAAAGGTGGGTGTCATGTGAGAGCTATAAATGTCTTCTTTCCAGTCAAATAGATGGGTAATGTAATTTTAAACCCTTATAATAAAAGAAGCTGAACTCTCTTCAGTGATCTGCTCTGCAAAAACTATTTTTTTTTAAATAATACAAAGAGCATCTAAGATTTTTGGCTTTCAGCAGTAAGTTGTAAGCATATAGCAATATGTATATGATCATACAACCTACTTTCTGTTAATTTGAGGGGAGCTTTAAAAAAAAAAACTAATAAATAAAATTAAAAAGTATATTTATTTTTGCCTTACAATTTGGGCACATAAATTCAGATGGAAAAACCAATATATACACTGGAAAATAAGAGGTTATCCCCCCCCCATTTAGCACCACACCCACCTCAAAGCATGTGGAGCTGTACAGTATCTCTAACAGACTTGATTATGTTGTTTCTGACACCCTGTTATCTATAAACATGGACTAAAGTACGTTAGCATAGCTAAAAAACAGCTGAAAAGTAGTAGCAGCCATCTTAACAACTAAACTGCAACAAAGCTTGTCTTGTGTGGCTGAAAAACATTTCTTTTCCCTAAACCATTACCATAAATGAAAAGGCAAATAGATTCCCTAAGACTTTTCCCAAACGAGGCTGAAATCACGACCCTTAATCATAAGAGCTCTCAAAGGTCATCGTAAATATCTCTGTATGGCTGAGCAGAGGGCTTGTGGTCTGTGCCTAATTTGGATACTAAAGGGTTTGGTTATAAAAAGCTTTGCTCAGGGACCTGGGCCTGCTGAAAGCTTGGCTTAGGGAGAGCCAAATGTCTAACTGTCAGGGAGGACATTACAACAGCCTTAAGGCACAAATAACACAGACACTGCGCCAAGCTGTGACTTTAACCTGCAGCAGCTGAGCCTGAATTAACCACACTGTTCATCAGGAAGTGAATAATGAAAACTCTCTCTGCTGTAGAGCTAAAGGCTACATTCACATTACAAGCCTTATTGCTCCGTTCTGATCTTTCTTGTTCATATTTGTGTGTTTATCATCAGTGCAAACACACCTGCACCATGAAAACAAGCTGCATGCGCACCGCATATTTTGTTATCTTGTTAAATCTGGTCCTGACCCACTGGATGTTGACCACAGTGATATGTGAAGTGTGATTTAAACAAACTATATGAATCACTGAATCATTAATAATCTGATAACTGGAGAAAATCAGATTTTGTCAGTAATCCGACCAACGCTTTAACATGCTCTTGAGTAATCAGATAATGGGGAAACTCTGGGTCTACATGAGTCAGGCAGTAATCAGATTTCTGCTTTGCAACCAGCCAATAAACTCACAAAAGAAGACGTGACGTAAACGTAACGTAAAACTTCATGCTGTGTTTTAAAACATGGCTCTACTTCACCTGAAAATATGAACATACATCATCTAGAAGATGAAGAACATTTAAATCCTTTATTTCGTGTTTGATTTCAGCGCCTCTGCAAAAGTGTTTTGCTGTGTCTCGCGACATCCACCGTCTGATCTCGCACAGACTGAGAAATCCGATAGAAATCGGAGTCAGAGTTTACATGCACTGAGAAATCTGATTACTGAGCTAAAATCCAGCCACTTCATCAGATTTCTTAATCAGATTTCTAGATCCGAGTACGGTGTTTAAATGACCATTTGAATAATCGGATAATTGCAGAAATCCAATTATGATCGGATTACTGAGTGCATGTATATGCACTCATTGTGACCCAGGAGCACACAGATGTTTTAACTTGGTTTACAGTCCATTTTTGGACCATCTAAAGTGACCCTGAGTGCCCTTTTTGTTGCCTTCTCTATTCTCTGGGCTACAGGGTACCTATGCCGTACCTGACGCACAACTCCCCAGAAATCTAACTAGATGTCATGGCAACGTGCTTTGCCCTCACTAGTATAGACAATGAAAACTTAAAACAGTGAGAGCAAAGTCAACTGATCAGTGTTTTAAGCTGTAGCTAAGCTAACACAAGCGTACCGAGCCTCCCACCATAGTATAGGTTCGGTTTCAGCTAAGTGATGCTTAAAAAACACTCATTTAGAGGATAAAGACTCACATCGGAGAGAACTAATTTGAATGTGTGGTGTTGAAGTGGCAAAAAGAAGAAAACAGAATTGGTGTGACTGCAGAGCAACGCAGACACACTCACAACGGCTTGTGTAGAGTATAGTGTCAATTCGGCACAGAAGCATTAAATCAGCCTTTATAATGTCAGTGCGGACAAACCGGCTCAAAATCTGATTTGAAAAGGCCCGATTTTTATGTTCACACAATTAATAAAAACATCATAACCTTCAAACCTGTAACAAAGCCTAAAACTCTGATTCTGCAGCTGCACACACCTGGAGCACAGTTATCCACCAGCGCTCCCAGCGCTTTGCCGTCCCTCCAGTCGCGGTTGAAGTTGTTGATGGGCAGCTGAGGGACTTTGTTCTGGATCCAGCCGAGCAGACGCTGCTTTGGAGTGAGCTTCTTCTTCTCTTCATCATCATCTTCGTCGTCCCACATGGGCATGGAGATGGAGTAGTGCAGGATGAGCGTCCAGATTAGGCCCAGGATGAGCTTCAGGTTTCCGTCCACGATGGCTTTGCTGTCTGTGAAGCAGAGGAAGCTGTTAGAACACATCAGTACTGAGACGTTTCTCAGAAAAGAAGGAAACGATCAAGATGAATCTGAATATATCATACACCACCACTCAAAAGTCTGACATTAATCATTTTCATTTCATACACAATAATATTGCACACACTATAGATCTGAAATATATAAACTAGATACCAAAATGTAATGTTTATAATAAGTCCATCATGTTGGACCTTAAAGAATTCCTTAGTAAAGAAAATGGTTCTATATAAAACCATGAACACTCACAGAACCATTTGCATGCTTAAATGCTTATTTGTACAGTGCAATGGTTCTTCAGATTGGGGAATGTGTTGTATATGGTTCTAAACAGCACCAAAAAGGGTTCTTCTATTGCAATGTCAAGCTGTAACAATAAACAAGCCCTTTTTGGTGCTATACAGAACCCTTTTCAAAAAGGTTCTATATAAAACCCTTACACAAGACATTCTCCAGCAATCTGAAGAACCATTTCACCATGCAAATAGTTCTTTGAGTGTTCTTGACTCCATACAGAAGCATTTTCTTTACTGGAGAACCCTTGAGGAACCATCTTTTTAAGAGTGTATACTGTTCACTGATGGAATGATAAATTTTTTCTTGGCTATGTAACAAGCCAATTTCCTCTTCTTATTTCCAGCTGATGCAGCCCCTAACAGCGCCCCCTACAGGCCTGTTGGGAATTCAGTACAAGAGCTGGCTCCAGGCCAAAAAGACCAAACACTAACCAATGCATGTGTGCACAACCTTTGACCTTCCAGCCATGCTGCGCTAATACACCGCACCCTTCACACACACACTCCCAAAGACGCAGTCCCACTCGGAATTTCTCCGGCTGTCTCTGAGAAGCATCACTCAGGAACGTCAGTGCGTTACTGAACAGTGTGTTTGACTGTAGCTTTGGAAAACCAATATTTTATAACATCAGAAAGGCTGTATGATATTTATCCGCAGTATGCGAGGGGTGGGACTGTGCACAGCCATGAACATCCAGAGGCATTTGGTTACCGCGTTTCTCCCAAATATTTATCCCGGCTTGTCTAAAAGTGAAATGCACTAATGAAGTTGCGTGGTGGTGTCTGTGGCTGTGACAGCATTAGCTAGCAGGGAAACCATTTGCGCTAAACGACCGAAACGGCTCAATAACACACACTCGCCCCTCCTTCAGGAACTAAACACATTCCTGACCTCCTGGCCCTTCCGCACACAATTATGCTCCAAGTGTCTGACCTTCACACACACACACACGCCGCCAAGCTATTTTAAGCATCTGCTGAGTGTCTGGACGAGCAGATATTTTACCACCCGTGACTCACCCACTAATAACTGGCATGTGCCAATCAAGAGATAATAAAGTCTGTTTAGCTACAGGTCACAGTAGGACTGAACAACTCATCATTTTATATTAAAATCGCAATTTACACCTTTTAAAATCACACAAGCTGCAATTTTAACGATTTCCAACACTGTTTAACATTATTTTAACCCCTTAAATGGCGTGGGCCCAAAGTTCTTCTATAATCTAAGAATAGCTCAGTCAGTTTGCATTTAAGTCCCTGTAGCTACTGAATAAGCCTTAGTATGTAATAAGCCTGAGATTTTAAGAGGGTGAACAAGTTTCAAGTGGGAACATTTAAGCTAATACCGCCAAGCACATAAATGGGCATAAAATAGCCAAAACATGGTGCTGATCTGGGAGAAAGGAAAACTTTTAGAAAATAATGGCAATTGCATTACTGGTCAGAAACATGCTGAGAAGTGAAACCACTGAGAGTACATCTACAATTTTAGAATATTATGCAGTTGTTTTAAGAATAAGAACATATTTTGAGATATTTTTACTTATACACTTCAAAGGGATAATACTAACCAAGACAATTTGGTCTGTTTTGAGAAAATAATGCATGAAGTGAGTAAAATTTGTCAGTGCGAGGAAATTAATTTCTAACTTCGCTAGAAATAGGTGTAATAAGCTTAGATATCTTTTTAACCAATCACATAATGAGTAATATCAGATTTAATATCCTTCCTACACTGAATTTGCTTTCAGCTCCTTTATTCACCTCTGCCAGGGACAGGATCCAGAAGCTTCTAGATAGATCTACCATCGCACACCCCCCTTTTTCCATCTCCACACCAGCTGTTGTTTCCTGAGAGCCTATGAGTAGATTATTTTCTATCATACTAAATCATGGAGCTGACCAGGGCATTCCATACACTCTTTAAAAAGATGGTTCTTCAAGGGTTCTCTAGTTAAAAACAATGGTTCAATATACAACCATGAACACTCAAAGAAACCTTTGTATGATTAAGATGTTCTTTACACTGTGAAATGGTTCTACAGATTGGTGGAGAATGTGTTAGTTCTATGTAGCACCAAAAATAGGGTTCTGCTACTGTTTGTTAACTATGGAAGAACTCCTTTTGATGCTATTTAGAACTATTTTCAAAAAGGTTCTACACAGAACCATATACAACACATTCTCCATCAATCTGAAGAACCGTTTCACCATGCAAAAAAACATTTAAGCATGCAAATGGTACTTTAAGCGTTCACGGTTACACAGAAGCACTGTCTTTACTAAAGAACCCTCAAAGAACTGTGTACCATTGAGAAACGACACAGATTCTGGTCTGGCGAGCAAGAAAGTGGGAGGGTTGAGTTCACTAACAATTAATACATCTATTCCTCTCAAAGTCCAGAGTTCATCAACCCAACGTTCTCCAACAGACACCAACAACACAACTTTTTGGGTTGATATGTGTGCCTGTGTGTGATTGTCTCTAGAAAGTTCTCCCCCATTCACACTGGTTTATATGGTATGTCAGTTCTTATTGTATGGTACACTGTTAAAAATAAAGGTGCCAAAATGGTTCTTTGGAGCGATGCCATGGCACAGGGTTTCCCAACCTTTTGTGTCAGCTGAACCCCTTCAACCTAAATTATGTGCTTTAACTCCTGAAAATCCCTGGTTTATTACACACGAAGGCTTATTATTTGGTAAGTACAGAGACTTCAGTGCGAACTGTCTGAGCTGTTCTTAGATTATAGAAGTGTGTAATAAAATTTTGGCCCTGCCGGTGGGTCCTGGCCGTTTAAGTAGCCCTTGGGATTTTAAGCAGACTTATGTTAAACAATTTTTTTCTTATACAAAATGGTTTTGTGGTCAGATTTGCACGTGCACTTTCCAAATATCTGTTTAAGAAAGTTGGCTTAACACTTTGCTCCATATTTCACACTTTCGCCTCAGAAAATGATTTAGCTAGCCAGCTATTAATCATAATCCACATTAAACAGTATCACAGTTATTTACTGAATGGACCATACAAATGTACATATATATATTTTATATATTTTTCTTTACATTTTAATTAAATTCAACCGTGAGATTTACATCACAGCCTCACAAACCCCCTGTAATGCCTCCATGAACCCCTAGGGGTTCACAAACCTCTGTTCGGGAAACACTGCCATCGAAGAACCACTTTGGGTTCCCTAAATAACCTTTCAAGGGATGGTTCTTGAAGAACCATGATACATATGAGTGATAAACCATCTTAATATCGAAAAATGTTCTATATGAAGTCTTTCCTAGAACATCCAATCAACCACCACTCAGACTTAGAGAGTGTAAAGTAAAAAAAATCAGGATGTTACTGTTTGTTGATGAACGTTGGGTCAGTGTACCGCGGCCTGTGAAAAGGTCACTCACCTATCGACACCAGTTTGATCCTCTCCCTGTCGAGAAACTCCAAAGCCACCGAGACGTTTTCCAGTTTCATCTGTCTGAAGTTGGGCCTGACGTGGTGCTTCCTGTACATTTTCTTCTGGCTGAGCACCTCCAGCAGGGCTATGAGCTTGAGACCGTCGTTCAGGTCCCTCTGCAGGTCCGTGACGTTTTTGTTGATGCACTTCAGGTGCTCATTGCACCACCTGGTGAAGGTGTTCTGCTGGATTTTCTTCCAGGGCGCGTCTTCGGCCAGCTCCTTCTCCGTTGCGGGCATTTCGTCGTCTTCTTCGTCCCCCAGATCAGTGGCCTGGTGGTACTGGGGCAGCTGCTCGTCCAGCGGGGTTTTGTGGCTCATCATCTTTCCTTTCGCTGCTGGCCTCTTTTATACCTCGGCTGAGCTGGAGGTGAGATCTCGCCGCTGTGCGGTTCTGCAGGACGGTGTGAGGCGCTCAAACAGGCCGAAACTTTGACAGGGTTAAAAAAACAGAAAGATTTTCGAACCTACTTGTTAAAAGGACAGTTCTGTCAAGACGGTGATGAATGAAATAATCCGATTTATGGTTTACAAGGCAGCCGGTCCTCGGTTTTAATTGGCGGTCTCTTGTCAAAAGTAGTTGCTCCTTCTTAATGGAGTTGTGCTGTAGAGCTTCAAGCTTGGAGATCTGGAGTTCCTCTCTCTCTCTCTCTGTGGGAATGGGGGCAGTAGAGCTGTGCTGGTTTATAAGCTGCTGGTTTATAAGTGCTGGCACCCCCAACCCCGTCAGGCTACAGGAATGCCGCTGTCATGCTCCACACAGGAGAGATGAACACACTTCGGCAGGATTGGTCAGAAGCACATGAAGAGCTGCTATTGGCCAGAACAGCTGAATGACAATGAACTTTATTTCTGTCCGAAATGGATAGGGGGGGCTAGCATGAGCTCACCAGGCTGAAACAAGTGGCCCTAAAAAAGAAAGTGACGTAGCATGCTGGGGATCGCTTTAGTGAGCAAATCTCAAGCTTTTAAACAACTTATAATTTTAATAAAAGTACTTAAATGAATAAATAAGAAGTATTTAAAGAATCTACTTCTTTAAAATCTTTAGTTCTGCCTCAGCACTACAAGACTAATGTAGCTACACTCTTAAAAAATATGGTTCTTCAAGGGTTCTTTGGTAATTAGTTCTGTATCCAACCATGAACGCTCAAAGAACCATTTACATGTTTAAAGGGTTCTTTACATTGTGAAATGGTTCTTCAAATTGATGGAGAAGGTGTTGGTTCTATAAGTCACCAAAAAAGAGTTCTGCTACTGTTGCAATGTCAAGCTTACAATAAACAGTACCCTTTGCAGTGCTACATGGAACGCTTTTCAAAAAGGCTCTTTATAGAACCATCTATAGCACATTCTCTATCAATCTGAAGAACCACTTCACCATGCAAAGTACTCTTTAATTATGCAGAGGGTTTTCTGAGTATTCATGGTTCTATATAGAACCATTTTCTTTACTAAAGAACCTTTGAGGAACCATCAAGTGCGTAAAACAGAAGAACACTTTTTGGTGCTATATAGAACCATATACAACACATTCTCCATCAATCTGAAAAAACATTTCAGAGATGTAGATGTTTCTATACAGAACCTTTTTGAAAAGGGTCCTAACTGGCACCCAAAAGGGTTCCTCTATTGTTACAACTGTGACATCGTAACAACAGAAGAATTTTTCTGGTGTGCTATATGGAACCATTTTCAAAAAGGGTCTTTACAAAACCATCTACAGCACATTCTCCATCAATCTGAAGAACCATTTCATGATGCAAAGAACCCTTTAACCATGCAAAAGGTTCTTTGAATGTTCATGGTTCTATATAGAACCATTTTCTTTACTAAAGAACCCGTGAAGAACCATCTTTTTAAAGAGTGAATGGTTATGTACACCAACTAGCATTGTGCAAACTGCAAGCCTAAATTATCACACTTGCCTCAGTTGTTGAGTGATCTCAGGCAGACTTTCTCATGTGGGCTCTGACACAGTTTGACTCACTGTAAGTAGAAAAAGAGACAAAATAAGTTTATGTTTATGTTTATAGATAACAGAAGCTAAGTTCAGAAAAAATAGGCATGATCAACCACATCTGAGCTGAGCAGAAAAAGCTTTTGAACAAATTTACTGGACTTTGTCCAACTTCACACAGGGGTCGAGTGTAACAGGAGCTGATGACTGCCTGAGCTGCTCCACTACGCTGCACACTGTGAAATCAGACTCTCCACCTGTTCTGTTTCCCGAGACCACCTGAGGAGCTGTGAGGCACGGTGGCAGCTCCTCGTGTGCTTACACAGACGTTAAAAGTCACACCAACAAAGTGACAGTGACATGCCCTGTGTTCCGAAACCGGAAAAGACAGGCACTTCCAGACTTCCTCTCCACACTTAGCCTTGAGGAAATCCCTGCTGCCGTACTGAAGGGCATTCCGATTTTTTTATAGGGGTCGAGGGGAGTTCCTACTCAAACCCCTGACTTGACTCTAGAGAAGGAATCTACAAAACCGCAAACTACAGACACTGTATGGAATATATACTGTATGGAAATCTATATACTGTATATAACATGATACAGCGTGCATATAAACTGATTTGTGCTCTATATATACTGTAAATGTCAAGCAGCAGCACATTCCCATACTTACTGTACACAAACATATATATATATATTCTGTACATGAACTGATCATGTGGGCTCTGCTTGTTTGGAACCTGCAACCACATCAGCCCCCTGTGAATAAAATAACACCCTGGGTTAGACAGATAGCTATATATTGATAGATGGATGGATGGATGGATGGATTAATGGACAGATAGATAAATGGATAGATGGATGGATAGATAAATAAATAGAAAGATAGATAGATAGATAGACAGACAGACAGGCAGACAGACAGATAGACTGACAGATAGATAGACATATAGATAGCCAGACAAGTAGACAGACAGATAGATAGACAGATAGATAGACAGACTGGTGGACAGCTAGACAGATAGACAGACAGACAGACAGAGACATATAGAGAGACATATAGATAGACAGATAGATAGACAGACAGATAGATAACGTTAGATAAACTGATAGATAGATAGATAGATAGATAGATAGATAGATAGACAGATAGATAGACAGACAGACAGAGAGACATATAGAGGGACAGACAGACAGGTAGGTAGACAGATAGATAGATAGATAGATAGATAGATAGATAGATAGATAGATAGATAGATAGATAGGTAGATAGATAGACTGGTGGATAGCTAGACAGATAGATAGACAGACAGATAGATAACGTTAGATAAACTGATAGATAGATAGATAGATAGATAGATAGATAGATAGACTGGTGGATAGCTAGACAGACAGATAGATAGATAGACTGGTGGATAGCTAGACAGACAGACAGATAGACATATAGAGGGACAGACAGACAGACAGATAGACAGATAGATAACCAGCTGGCTTGTTACACTTACAACAGACGCAAGTTAATGCTAACACGCTAACGTTAGTTAGCTCACGGATATGTCTAACTGCCGAGTTAAAATGGATTAAAAACTAATTTAACTGACCACTTGAATGACTGAAACTGCTTCCACACCTATCATCTCTCTCATATAAACAAAGGAACAAATAAAAACTAACAATTTACCGTCAGTGTTAATCGACCTCAGTACGAATCCAGCTAACGCAAGATAGCCGGAAGGCTAAAACGAGCTACACTTCATGTTGTTAACGTTATGCTACGCTAAACTGACTATAGCTGAAGTTGACTATCAACCTGCGCTATTTGATCATATTTATAATGACACATAACAGTCTGTTACTGCCGTTCTGGACAGTAAGCCTGGCGATAACGACTGTAGGAGCTGTCGGTCCTCAGCCGTAGCACTTAGCTAACCGCTGATCCGTTAAGATTCCGTTAGATTTTGAAATGAGAGTGTGCGCGCGGGCTGCAGCAGCGTGCAGGAGATACTGAGGCTAATAAAAGGGAAAGCCCGTCATTTTCCAAACTGTCTGCATAATTAATTGGGTAATATGTAATCAGAGGGGTTCAGAGTGGTTTGGTGTGAAACGCTCCGTTCTAGATAAACTTACCGAGTCAGAACTGTTCACAGTGGTGGTGATAAGAACCAGACGTCCCCCTCTAAAAGCTCCTCACAGAAAGTTCCTACATGAAATGGTTATGAATTCACTGCCTGATGACTGAGACACTGTTTTATGATAGTTTTGAGAAGATTTTGGCCTAATTATCCATTTATGATGGAGGGATACATAATATGCTGTGAGACAAAATAGTCCCCAAAGAAAACTTATTATTTCAGATTTTCCACTATGTTCATCATCAACATTCCATATAAACTCAGAAGACTCGTGTAGGTTCACTGGTGGTTCTGGATAGTAAATAAAATGTCTATATCTGTGTTGTAGTCATGGCGACCCCTGGTTCCTATCACCACCACTGTAAAGACATCTGAACCATTTCACACCAAACCACTCTGAATCTCTCTGTTATCTCACACACCTAATTAAGTGGGAATATTGGAAAATCTGTGGATTAATCAGTGATTAATTACCATTAACTCACCTTAACCAGCATTAGGATAAGACTCTGCTGAGGAAATATATTTAAACTGCACTGTGTATGTACACACACACACACACACACACACAAACACACACACACACACACTTCTAAGCCACTTCTCCATCTGGGTCGCAGGGGGTGCTGGAGCCTATCCCAGCTGTCATCGGGCGGAAGGCAGGATACACCCTGGACAGGTCGCCAGTCTGTATACATATACTGTATGTTTAATTTAACGTGGGCCTGTGCATATAGACCTGTATATATGTAATTAATTGTTTTTGTGCATTTGTTTATATGTGATTTATTTTACTGAAAAGCATGAAATGTGTGCTTCTATCTAGAACCATTTTCTTTACTAAAGAACCCTTAAAGACCCGTCTTTTTAAAGAGTGTACTGTGACGTAAATTATCACAATAATGATAAAATATCGTCACATTGCCCAGCCCTGGTCACCACCACCACCAGACCTCCCCTGGATAAACACAGAGTGCTGAAATCAGTCTGTTCCAGTGGTTCTGTTGCTGTTTCTTCTGCTGTGCTTTTTCTGCTCCAGATCCAGAAGTTTCTGGGCAGAGCTCCTCCAGAGAGAGTGTCCGTCCTCTGGCTCTGAGCGTAATGAATGAGCGGTGATTAACGGGGTTTGTCTGCAGGTGTATTTTGGGAGCGTACGGAGCTGCGGGCAGTGACTCAGCTCGGTGACCGGGTCATTTCCCACACGGCTGACCTCCACAGCAGAAAGGTCGCGCTTACTCTAGTCTGAGTGACAGCACTTAAATACGTCTCACAGCACTAAATATAGAGTTTACACAATCACTCAGGAGTTTGGAGCCTCTGTTTTATTCATATAATACCAAATATTTTTACTTTAATACCATTTAATATTTTAATAACATAACACAACAAAAACTGTTTTAATAATATAACACAAGTATTACCATTTTAGTAACATTTAACTTTAATAATAATAATAAAAATAATAACACAACATAATATAGTTTTAATCATTTAATATCAAACCAATCTTTGTCATTTTTACATTTTATTTGGTGCAGGTGTGTGTATAAAATGATTTTCATATAACAGCACTTCTTTACTTCAACTAATTAGTAATAAACTGTAAATAAATAACAATGATGAACTGTTA